TTGTGTTTTCCTCCTCTGCTCACTACTTATTGATACGCGCCCTTAGGGCGCATGTTCGGGGCCATGCGGGCCCTTTTTTGAAGTCCGCTGCCATTATAATAGCCACCAAAGCATGTGCGGAATATGTCCCTACAGAAATAAAGAACATGGACTCAGCATTCATGCTTTTCCGCTCGAAAAATGAGTATAAGAACTCTCCACTCATGAACGCTCTTGTTCACATCACAAAAGTCTAAAGCGACATTTTGCTGCAAGAAAATGGTCCGCCTGCGATGCATATCTTCCCTCCTCTTCAAGCACCAACAATTGAATCTGGACGCATCTATGACCTCTCCTGGTATTGCGTATTCCATATCTGTGTGGCGTCAAACTCTCTACTTCACTGTACTATCCTACATTTCCAAAACACTTGGCGAGCTTCCGGATGTCTTGAGCGCTTTCTCGAATATGTACCACTCGGCAGGAATGACTTTGCATCGCTTCTGTGGATGAGGCTGTCAACACTGAATTCCTGTTCGACAACTGTGCTTTATAAAAAGTTTCTCACCTTTCACGCCATGACCAGAGATTCGATAATTCCTTACAAAATCTCGATACCATGATCGATATGATTCGTGCCTGGCCTCAAAATGTCTCAATATGCCGTCGCTCTCTCCACGTGCTTTTCTTCGCCAAGCGCAGATAATTCGACACTCCGACTCTACTGTTCTTCTCCAAAAATAACGCTCGTCTAGCAGTTCGCATGTCTGCCGCTCTTCTGTCCAAAGTATACCTCAGAGGTGATCATGTTGTTTTTGCTCTCTCAGAGACGATTGTCATGTGTGACAGCGCGACCTCGTTGAGAACATATTTCCCATATCCAACCTCCGTACCAGTAGCTGCATATCTATTGCTGTTCTGATGAGAAGACGACATCAAAAAACCATGTTTTGGTTTGCACTCTCCGAGATGACCATCATCCACCACAGCGCGACCACGTCGGAAGTGCATACATTTTCGAATCAAAACAGGCTAGCAGCGCTCTTATATGAAAATAAAATTTTGAGCTGATCAGGTCTACATGTAACTATCTAGCAGAAATATGGATACCGTGTATGCTAAGCCATGTTGCACCGTATAAAGTCGTAGTCAGGTCAAGACTTGGAAGTAACGAGTTAGTCAGATCACGATTGCAGAAGTATTGGAGTATGACGATGATGAAGGTCTTCATTCCGAGTTAGTGTAGCGAAGTACTTGATGGTGTAAAGCCTTACAATGACCGCTATCTCAATCATCGCGTGTCTATTGAAATCAAAGACTCGTGTTGACACATGCACTTCCATCCAGGCCGTGTAGCAGAAACCACCAGTTTTAGTCTCAGTGAGCTCATACTGTACCTCCTGGTACCAATCTGCTGTATCCAATCTCTCGCGCCAGTGCATTGTAGTATCCATGCGCCCCTGAAACAAACCCATCCTTCCAATCATGATGTCGCGTGCATCTTTGCGGTGGGCAGAAACAAACGCGTGTGTGAAATGCTGTGATGGCGTCCGGCTCCTGGTTCCAATCTGCAGTGCCAATCTGATGCGGTGCCAAGCTTGTATGCGCCGTGTGAAGAAAGTCGTACAACCGTCAGTACCACCTTAGTCAAGGTTGGTGCTCTTTGCGCTGTCCTCGAGTCGCTACTCCTTGGGGATATCATCGCCTTGACCATCCTCAGGCGTGCTGGATGGTGCATTGGGGTTGATGAAGCCGAGAGCAGCTCCGCCCGCTGTGATGTGCTTGTCGAGCTCCTCGTTGCTGTCCTTGAGCTTCCTGTTTGGCGTCTCTCGGATGGTCTTCATGAAGGCTTGCACCTCATCGTCCTCGTCGGGATTGATAAGGCCCTCTTCAATTGCGAGTTTGAGGGCAGTCTGGTGGCCTTCGGGCGTGTTGTCGTATCGCAACATGACCTGGCCGGCGGGCTGATGGGAGGGGGCGGGAGTGTCGATGACAGGCTTCTTGCGGCGCTGTTTCTGCTGCGCCGCGCGCTTGTGGCTTGCGGTCGTTGAAGGTGAGGACGCCGCTGGTGCCCTTGGCCTTCACGATCATAGCAGCGCGGGAAGGTTGCTGTGAAGAAGTTAGAGGAGTTGCGGTGGTGGCATCGAAAGCCTTGCATTGGCAGTGGAGGCGAAGTCGTGGTGGCGGCGTTTTGTGCTTGCTGCAAAGCGCCCGATGACAGCAGCAGGGAACGGTGTGGTAGTGACACCTTCGCGCCTGTTGTTAGCCCAAATGCGGTCCTGATGCTCCAGGTCGGTGAGGGCGAGGGTTTGGGGAGCATCCCCGGAGTCGTCTTCAAAAAGCACACAAATTGTGTGCGGAGTCGCGGCAGAGGCTGACTCCTCCTGCCCCCAGCCTAACCTCAATCCAGGCTGCTGTAGGGCAGCCAGAGGAGCAGACTGCTTGAACAGAGACTGCCCAAGCGATCTGCCACCACTGACAGAGGAGCCAGACTTCTCCTTAAGGCCTGGGAGGAAGTCGTCTTCGCTGCCGGAGACATGTTGTGATTTAGCGCCTCTCGGCGAAAGTTTGTGCTTGGAGGGTGCCATCGTGCTGTGGATGGGTGAGGTTGAGGTGTCAAAGTCGAAGGCGAAGTCAAGCAAACAAACAGCATGCCACCATTGTCTCGGCAACGCACTAGCAAACACCCACTCCACCGCTCTATTGGCTGCCTAAAGTCCAGGTGAAGTGCGACATAAGCTACTCAGAAGCAACAGGACACAACGTGGTTTGTAAGCAGACGCAGCGCTCACATGTGTCGAACGTCTTCACAACATAGGTGCTTGGTGATGACATGATATTGAGTGACTAGGGTGGACGATATGAACATCTGCGAAGTGCTTAAGATCGATACACGCAAATCAATTTTGAGTGACTGAATTGGAAAGATGACTACATTTACAGCTCTTACGTACTGAAACCGAGCTCGTACAGGTATCCGAGGACGAGCTGGCCATGCTGAAGGACATGCTTAGAGTCGATGTGGTCGATGGTATCATTCGGCGTGTGGATATGAGGATTGCGGTATTCAAATGCCGCTTCGAATACAAATGAAGCAGGGAAGCCGTTCCTGGTAGCAGAGCCGTGATCGGAGCACGCATAACCGCACTGGCTCTCAACATATGTGATGTCGGTGTACTGCGTTTGTATCAGTCATGCGCATCAAACAGCGTTACGCTACGTCATTACTCACCTCATTAATGACACGGCTGAGATACTCATTGAGCGGTGCGCTGGTAAAGTCCGTAATTAATCCGAAGCTCTCCGGCTTGCCCGCGTCAAGAGTGGCCTTGGTGTAGCCAACCATGTCTTGCTGCAACATTGCCCAAACATCGCGACCCGCATTCGCGTATTGGGTGAAGATATCTTGCGAGCCACGGAGACCGCCTTCTTCCGCAGCATACCAGTGGAACTCGATTGTGTTCTCCAGCTTGCTTGGGCCAAATTCACTGTCTGAGAGTAGAACGCGGAGTGCATCCAGGATCATGAATGAGCCAGTGCCGTTATCGTCAACACCAGGAGCGCGACCGCCGGTTCGGTTCGCCGAGTTGACAGAGTCAAGATGACCACCGACAATGACAGTCCTGGTGCTGCGCCCAGGAACCTTTACGATTACAGACTTCTGGGGAAAGGCTGCGTGAGGGAACATCTCCACGGTCACGCCATTCTTTCCTGAGTTCTTGACGACATCAGCAACTTGGGTGAAGAGCCACTCAGCCGCCTCCACACCGGATTGAGTCTCACTGAAGCGTGTGTGGTAGGTAGCGTAGTGCTCCAGATTCTTCTTGATATTGTCCCAGTTGAGCTTAGGGATGAGACTCTTGATCTTCTCGCTGTTCTTGAATTCCGTCGGGTAAGGTGCTTGCTCTTTGACCGCGCGAATTTCAGCGTTGAACTCAGTGATGTCGAAAAAGTGGCTACCACAGCCGCCGTTCTAGCATTTGGTCAATATCGAGTGGCGTTGCTCATGAGTCGAGCTACTTGCAGCTGCCAGCTCCCATCGCTCATCCTCGGTAATCTGGCGAGTCTCGCCTGGCGCAACTTCAATCGTAAGAAGCGCTCTTGGCTTCACCTGCTCTGGCTTTGCGAGCACTGCGGTGGCGCAAGACGCAGCAAGGATTGTCGTGAGCTTCATGATGGCGGTGTGAAGTCCAGCAGTTTCGACAACAACTCGAGGCTGAATAGTAAGCCCAAAGTGTCACAAACATCGTCCGACCTTTTATATAATGTACATGATGCGGTCAGCCGCGGAATGCACCTGGGCACTTCCCTGTCAGCGCCTCAAAGCTTCCTCATCATGTCAGATCCGCAATATCTACAAGCTGTACGAGTGGTACCAAGCACTCAGATCCACAGGAACACGGCCGTTTCGACCAATAGGATTATGTCCGTCATCTGGGATGCGATTGGAATGTCTTGTCGCCGCTGACATTTCTTGACGGCTTCCTTTTGCGGGGTAGCCGGGCATGGCATCTATCACCAGGCATCCATATTTGATCCATAAACCAGGTTGAGATTCGTAACTCTCGGAACGATATCTGTATATGATCCCCTACCTTCCTTAAGAGAGTTTATGTGTGCGAAGGAAAGTCTTGGTTTAAAAGCGCGACGTCGAGACTGGCACGCGACAGTTGCGCGCTAGACCAGCCACCGAAGCCGCTGCTTCCGCTTCTGCTTCTCCACCACGACAACACGACAACACGACATGGCAAAAGCATAATCGGATCACAACTTCAATGGACCTGAAGACATGCATTGAGTGGGGAGCCTCAGAATGTTCCGACACGGAACCAAACGAAAGCCATCACGTCGCACTGGCGCACGAGTCCTCAGTATCGCTTCGGCCCATTAGCAACTCCATCATGCTCGATTCTGCTCGTGCACCTCAAGGCTAGCTCAAGGTGCAGTTAGCAACCCGGCATGTCCTGCACTGTACACTCCTCGACCAAATCAAGACAAATATGCCAAGCATACACTGCGACCTCTATTAGTATCTAGGCGAATTCGTAGAGCTCACCAACTGACCGGAAAATGTATGAGGGTCCAGAATATTATCCACTTATTCCTTTCTTGAAGGTAGAGGTAGGACGCGACGTATGACGGGATAAACATGACAAATGCTGCTATACAAGCTTGGATCTTGCTCTTGCGTTCCAGGTTGCGCGCTCGGATATGATCGTTGATGTCGGTATATACATCGTCTTCAACTTGTGTCTGCTCTGCGGTCGCATTTTCGAGAGCAACAATTCTGGCCCGATTTTTGGTGGTGCGAGCGTCGCGGACGTCGAAGGTTGAGTAGTTGGGGGAAGTCATCTCTCAGGTGTTGGTGAGGGAAGTGTGTTAAAAGGGGAAGTTGAGCGTTTCTTTGGAGATTCGGAAGAAGGATCCGACGCGCTTGCATGACCTCGTATTCGGGGGCCATACCGAGGTCATTGAGATACATGGACGCCTGAGGAATTGCGATGCAGCACGGTTCTAGGTGCATGAGCATCATGTATTCTCAAAAGTAGGCGCTAATCGCTCCTTTCAATCAAGTGCACGTCGAGCCCGACAGGCATCACGAGACTGGCTTGATGTATAGTTGCTGTGTGCTACTCCTGAGTGGATTATGAGGGGTAGCGCTGATTGGATAACGTTAGTATAGCGTTACTCCGTATTGGCTGAGCGAAGCATGGATGGTCACTAAAGTGGTTTATGATCTTTGAACTTTACCGACAATCACGATGACCCAGGTCATGAACAGGATTACAACGACCATGAAGAGCAGGACGATAACGATCATGCTAACGAGGATCGGTCTAAGACTAACCAAGTAAGTAACAAATCAGGTAACAAGAAGACACCGAGGGGTATGTAAATGCTGCTGCGCAGCTCCCCGCTTCATCATTTCACGCACTTTCTGGGCTACGCAAACAGATCAGTGTATTCAAAAGTATTTCCAGGCGTCTTTTGAACCCATCTCATCCGAATACCCAACTCCATCCACATTCTACATCACTTCACCCAACGCCTACGACGCCCTGGATGACTCCCCTCTATGGTCCACTCACGATCCTAGCACACACAAGAACCCACATGATGATAGCACTGCATATGCCAAATTAGCGTTTTACTTCCCCTGCGTAATAAACGCCCAAAGAAACGCCGCCTCGCCCGACTCGAATGCACTGTAGGTAATAGAGTACAGCAAACAGGGAAACGACGAGGACGATGAAGCAACCGGAGATCTTGCGGCTACGCTCATGCAGTGGATCCTTGAGCGCAGTGATTTGGGCTTCGAGGTCGGCGATGGTGGCTTCCAATTTAGCTTTGGCGGCCTCTGTGGCTTCGCGATCGCTGAAATAGGCTTCAGTGGGGGTGGGTGGGAATGGTGATTGTTGGGTAGATGTATGTTGGGTATATTTGGGGAGCATGGGGTTGGAGTCGGATTCGGAGTCAGGGGTAGAGTGGGTATGGCGGGTTTTGGAGGTGTTTGTGGTCGTGTTAGAAGGGAAGTATATTTGGGTGGATTATAGGAATATAGCGAAGGACTGCGAAGACAATTTTGCGTTGTGAGTTTTCGTCTCACATGGCTGCAGATTACCATTCAAGAGAATGTGTGGTACTGAGATGTGTAGTTTTCCAATATTAAGTAATAAACACTGTTCACTTCAATGATTGAGAACATTTCAGACATACCCAGAAATCCTGGGCGATTCTGAGCTCTACACCAGCGTAGAATTCTTCTCATAGTCCCTCATTACCACACTTTCTCCTATTCCCATCAATCAAGGCCCGCCATCTCCTACCTTCCCCGATTTTTCCCACTTGCCCGTCCACGATCACACATAGCAAATGACCCCACAAACCCCACACGAACTACAAAAAAGTTCCGATTAGCTCCTCACTCAGCAGATATACATGCCGAAATATGCTCGCTTACAATAAGTACACAAACAGCGTGAACACCGCATATCCCCTCTCCCCCTCAACTTGCGCACCCGACGCAAATCCCAAAATTACCGCGACAGCCCACACCACCGCGCAGCCGGTCGTCTTGCGCGTGCGCTCGCGCCGATGTCATTCAAGGTCGGCGATTTGTGATTCGAGGTCCGCGATGTACGTGGCGTTTGAAGGGGCGGGTAGGAATTTTGGATTGGAAAGGGATTGAGTCATGATTGTGGGAAATGAGTTGAGATGATGGTGTTGAATACGGACTAATTGAATACACTACTTGATCGGAAAATTGAGAAGGCTATTGTTGTTTTGTTTGTTGTGCTTGTGTTATTTTTGTTCTGCGCACATGCAATAGTCTGCGTGGTGCAAGAACCATGGTACGCATATCTGCACTGCAGCTTCGCGAACTGATATTCGTACCAAATTCTGTGGAATCACGGTTGAGGCTACTTAGGTACGATTTTTGAACACCTGAGATATGCGAATGTTGGAAATATATGACTAGCTGAATGGTGTGTGGGAAACCTGTTGCTTGGAATTCGCAACTGAAGTTGATGCATGAAATGATAGTGGCAATACTTCGCCATGTCCAAGGTAGATGTAATGACTATGGAAACACGAGATCCTGCATTTGTAAACCACCCAAAGAAATACTAGCAGCAAATTGTTCTTCTCTCGTAGGTCCAAAAATCTTACACCACCAGGTGCAGCACTATTTCGTGCGCGCACCATTCAGATTTAACATACTGATACAGATCAGCTTTCATCTTACATACAAGACTCAATAGCATATCAGCACATAATTTGTTTTACGAAGAGAATCTGAAGTGCTACAGGTTGACATTTTCCTTGGAGAACTGAGAGCTTTGAGACACAACGCGCACGAATTGTTGCAGCTCCTAGTGATATCGACACTTCAAATATTTCTGTATGTAGCTGAATGTTGAAAGTAAGATTATTTAGGTTATTCAAGTACTACGAATATATCGTGGGATGAAGCATATTGTATTTCGGTTGTAACACGGGCGCAAGATGGTAGATGGTAGCCATGTTCGTGTAAGTCGCGTGCTAGCCATTATTTTCGACCTGCAACCACACAACACAATTAATGCAAGTACATGACCCTCATATCAATGCACCAGCCCACTTTGCACGGCTCAATCCATTCCGAAGAGTTTTCTTCTTGTCAAGCCACAAAGGAAAAGCGGTCAGTACACGTTGTACATTACCATTGGTGGGCTCTTGTCCAAGTGAGGGATTAAAATGTAGAGCGCCTCGCCAAGTCATGCTCCATTGTTTGGTGTGGAGTGCCGAACTGCCCGATCTCGAGATTAAGCCCTGCACGTGAGCTGGCGGAGACGCTTGGCACAGCCACGTACAGCCATGTCGTCAGCAGCGGAGATCTCTGATGAAGAGGTACAATCAACGTCGTGGAAGGACATGTATAACCGAATGCAAGGCGATTGACGTGTCATGCGGAGTTGGGTCGCGCAACCAAGACACAACACAAGTCCGGCCCTTGGCGTTCCGGAGTATGGCTGGTGACCCGGCAGAAGAATGCACGATGTAAAGTGGCGAGTAACAGTATGTTGCAACATTCGAGTTTGAGATGAGGCGGAAGTGGAAAGGTCCAGATTGTCATGGTTGCACGGATATGGGCGTGTGATTATGCGAGTAACCCCAGACTCTTGGAAGATGAATAACTCAATACAGTTTGATAATGCTGGACCTTGTTCCCGGAGGCTGAAACTGCAAGACATGAAAACGCCGCACGCGAGCAGGAAGTCTTGAACGAAGCTTAGCGCGCCATTTTGCTATCGGCCGCGCAATTGCAAAGTCGCCAGGCAGATCTACTGCAGCACAATGTGGACAGATACGCTCGAAAGCACCAAGCCTTGGCGTCTTGGTGGTGCAACGGAGATGACCTCTGGCGCGCGCAGCGTTACGTTCCTGATTGAGGTGATGTGATTGCGATCAAGAATCGCCCAGGCAAACAAAAAAGGTTGATGGAGCGGACAACATCGATCGACGTTGCTTGAGACGAGCCTGGGGACGTGAAAGGTGGGAGGGGTCTTGGCTGCCAAGAGGGATCTTCACCCCGTGTTGTCCCACTTACAATGATCTGCTTTGAACAAGTTCACAGCAGGAAGCGCGGCGCGGCAAACATGTCGCTCCTAATTGCCAAGACAGTTGCTGTTTCGAGTTATACCGACTATAGCCTCAATGACCATGAACCAAGAGATTTTGAGTTCAAGCGGCACATGAGTTCATCACGCAGGATGTCTTGACACAATTCTCGCCAGTCCAGTGTGATCTGCCGCCCGGGGACGTCGATCACCAGGGAGGGTATGCGAAGGCTCCTCAATTGGTAGTTGAAACGGACAAAGTGTGCTTCATGGATCAATCGCAGACGGTTTGAGTCTGCCTCGGGACCTGGCTGGAAGAAGATGGCGGCAAGGCGATCGCCAGAGAGAAAGGCTGGGCTTGATTGCGCTTCTAGAGAGCTAGGATCAGATGCAGCGTCACATAACTTCAAGACAACGTTGGCTTTGGAGTCTACAGGTACGAATGCACGAGGCTGGAAGCGAAAGGTAGGCGGTTGGTACCGGTAGTCCCAAGCGGGCCCATGGTTATTTGGATAGTACGGAGGCAATGGTGATTGCTGATTGTCCCAGATAGTTTGCAGATCGTGGTTCATTGGACTGAGGTGATGAGCGGAGATGTCCTCGAGACGCTCAAGCTAGGCTTACGTGGGAAGAAACAGAAGCTTCTTTGCATGCTCGCCAGCGAAGCGAACGATGCAAGTGCGGAAGATGTAGCGCGCGAACAAGTCCTCGGTGACGAGCCTGAAGAAGTGTGAAGTGCGTCGCAGAACGAACCAGACGAAACAATGGTCGTCCAGGTGCGCGATGATCAACTGCCAAAGCTCGACTGGCAGGCGGGCCTCAGGCGATGTGGAAACAAACGAGGCTTGCGGTCCGACACCGGTAGAAACATGCGACTCAGAACGGGCGGTGGCCATGGAGGCGATCCACAGTGCCAGAGCGGTTGGAATGTCCGGGTCGCAGTGCGATGGGCGCTGTTTCATGCATCCGGCGAAGCATCGGCAGTGAGAGGCTAAGAGCGGCCTATGGGATCTGAGGCGAGGCTCTGGTCACGTGCTCGCTTCGGCGCCGTTCGCAGCTGCCGTGTTGGGAGCGCGTGTGACGGGCTGGGAGTTGGCGGTAGCACAAGAGCATCTGGATGGCTGGGCAAATACTGAGACACGACTCGACTCGTAGTAAGGTGCAGTGCTAAGGCTCAAGGGTTGAGGGTGCAGGACGTTAGGGACGGACCCTGCGTTATTAAGAATTTGGTTGCACTCAACGGCGCGCTGTCAAGCGTTGTCAAGCAGTATACAGTTTGTATGACAATATTAGGGCATGTAATTGGCGGGCGCGTCGCCACGGCAACTTGGCGGCTCTGCACCTGATTCGGCCGATAGGGGGCGACTAAGCATCGGTCAGACTGATTGCGAGGCATGCCCCGAGATGATCTCCCAGGATAGCTGAGTAAGAGGCCGACGGGGGGTTGTAGAAGCGTCACATCCCGGGGCATGGGGGCGCCGTTTTGAGGAGCAAACAAATGCAGGCCCCTGGCGGCAGAGTCGCTTAGGGTGCGGAAGTGCTGGGAGATGCGATACAGAAGAGGTCGGGGATGGATATTGCGTCTGTGCAACGCATCGTGGGTCGAATTGTGGGTTGCGAAAATTGTGTATTTCCCTCACTGCACGTTATGGATGGCGTGGGGAGAGTGGCTCGCACGAGGGCAGAGGCCGAAGCCGCCGGCTGCAGAGAGCGCCCAGCAGCGAAAAAAATGCCTCGCTCTGGAGCAGGCAGGACCAGCAAGCCAAGGTGCGCAACAGTGCGAAGCTTTTCTCATGCTGAGTGCAGAAGCTTGACGCACGGCGTCGCAGGCGTTGCAGCCTTTCCCAGTAAGGCGTGCTGGCGAGGCGTGGAGGTGAAGTGTTGTGACGAACTAGGACGGCATCCCTGCTGCTCGCTGGGGATGCTCAGGCTTAATTTCGAAGCACCCGCTTGGCCGCTTGCGGACGCGCTACGCGGGCTGGCAGATGGGAAATGGCCGCGCTGGGCGAGTGCGCATATTTGCAGATACAGTTGTGCATTGAGCCGTTGGGACAAGACAATTGCGCGCAGTCGGATGCTGGCGGGCGAGCGTGGTACAGTGGTACAGTGTTGCTGCGCGCCCACGGTCAGCAGCGGTGGCAGCGCGTCATCGGCCGTGGACGCGGGCATTCTAGTCGATCTTTCCAATATCGACGGGCCTTGGGAAAGCCGATGCATCATCGCGTGCGCACGGCCCCAGCACCTTGCAAAGGCTGCCGGCGCTCGGCTTCCCCCAAGGGCCCCAACGCCCCAACCACTGATACCGTACTGACCGTGGTAGCTTCATTTGCGCGATTTACAGGCGGTCGGTGCGCGCTCAGATTTTTTCCTGGTTCGTCTCCAGCGGCTGCCGCCAACGCTATATATCTCGCCTGTCGCACCTTTCTCTACTTTTTCACAGAGGAGGCCTTGCTCACACGATACCTACGCTGAGCTCGCTCGACCTTCGACAATACACCCAACCACCTTCCACCCGCCCGGTCGCGTGGAGCCTTCTCTGTGCATGAGAATATCGACCTAGTCGTCACCACTGTCGTCGACCCTTAATACCCAGCATTCTTTCCAGCATGGCGCCCAACGACGATGTTGAGCGGCCTCGCGCCAGCTCTGCTGCTGAGCGGCAGAAGTCCATTGTCTCCATGACCGAGTTCGAGGGCATGGACGAGTACACGGCGCTTCAAAAGTACATCCTCTTCTACCGCGACACGCGCACCAACCCGCACGCCGAGAAGACCGTCAAGAAGAAGGCCTGGTGGCAGTTCTGGAAATCAGGCTCCGCCACGGCCGCCACACCCATTGAGGACTCCGGTGCCGTCCCCGACGAGCGTAAGTTATTTCCCATCATCATCATCCCCTCATCCCGCACCTGCATTGCATCACATCGGGTCAGCCGTCCGCGACCGCATCCTTTGTTTTGCGCGTCTCGATACGCTTCCGGTGGCTGCTCGCGGCGGCCCGTGCTCAAGCTCTTAGCTTGCGAACGCAAGCTTGCTGCAGCCATGGTGGACCCAATCAGGGGCGACCCACCCTCGCGCAGCGTCTCCACCAAACTATCGCCCGCCGTGCAGCATGCGAGATGAGCACCGCGATCCTTCAGAGCAAACATACTAACTTGCATCGCAGTGGTCAACACCCAGCTTCGCTCCGGTCTCACTTCGCAAGACGTCGAAACCCGTCGCAAGCGTTATGGCTACAACGAGATCTCGTCTGAGAAGACGAACCTCCTCAAGCAGTTTCTCGGTTACTTCACTGGTCCCATTCTCTACGGTATGCATCCCTGCACAAAGTCTGCGCAAGCGCACCACTAACGTCCACTAGTCATGGAGCTCGCTGCTCTTCTCGCTGCCGGTCTCCAGGATTGGGTAGACTTCGGTGTCATTTGCGGTATCCTGTTGCTCAACGCCATTGTCGGTTGGTACCAGGAGAAAGCAAGCCGCTGATGTCGTCGCTTCGCTCAAGGGTGACATTGCCATGAAGGCAATCGTCGTCCGTGACAACCAGCAACAGACCATTCTCGCCCGTGAGCTCGTCCCCGGTGACATTGTCGTCGTCGAGGAGGGTGCTTCCGTTCCCGGTGATGTCCGTCTTATCTGCGACTACGACCACCCCGAGGACTTCGAACTGTACATGAAGCTCAAGGAAGAGGACAAGTTCCATGATGCCGACCCTGATGATGAGAAAGACGAGGACGTTGACGAGGAGAAGTTCGACGAGGAGAACCCCATTACCCAGGGCCACGCTCTTGTTGCTTGCGATCAGTCTTCCATCACCGGTGAATCCCTCGCTGTCGAGAAGTACATGGGAGAAATCGCCTACTACACCACTGGTTGCAAGCGCGGCAAGGCCTACGGTATTGTCATTGCCACTGCTAAGCACTCTTTCGTCGGTCGCACTGCTTCCCTTGTCCAGGGCGCCCAGGACCAGGGTCACTTCAAGGCTATCATGAACTCTATCGGTACGGCGCTCCTCGTCTTGGTCATGTTCTTCATCCTCTTGGCCTGGATCGGTGGTTTCTTCCGTCACATTCCCATCTCCGTCGCTCGTGAGGGTACCGACAAGTCCGTCACCCTTCTCCACTACGCTTTGATCATGTTCATCGTCGGTGTCCCAGTCGGTCTTCCCGTCGTCACCACCACCACCCTCGCTGTCGGTGCTGCCTACCTCGCTGAGCAGAAGGCTATTGTCCAGAAGCTCACCGCCATTGAGTCCCTTGCCGGTGTCGACGTTCTCTGCTCTGACAAGACCGGTACCCTCACTGCCAACCAGCTGTCTCTTCGTGAGCCTTACGTCGCTGAGGGCCAGGATGTCAACTGGATGATGGCTGTTGCCGCTCTTGCGTCTTCCCACAACCTCAAGTCCCTCGACCCCATCGACAAGGTTACCATCCTTACCATTCGCCGCTACCCCAAGGCTCGTGAGATCCTCAACATGGGCTGGAAGACCGAGAAGTTCACCCCCTTCGACCCTGTCTCCAAGCGTATCACTGCCATCTGCCACATGGGTGGTGACAAGTACGTCTGCGCCAAGGGTGCCCCCAAGGCCATTGTCAACCTTGCCAACTGCGATGAGGAGACTGCTCGCCTCTACAAGGAGAAGGCTGCTGAGTTCGCTCGCCGTGGTTTCCGTTCGCTCGGTGTCGCCTACCAGAAGAACGACGGTGACTGGATCCTCCTTGGTCTCATGTCCATGTTCGACCCTCCCCGTGAGGATACCGCTCAGACGATTGTTGAGGCTCAGCAGCTCGGTGTTCCCGTCAAGATGTTGACGTAAGTTATTCACTCTAATCTCTTCAATTCTCAGCTAACATGATCACAGTGGTGACGCTATTGCCATTGCCAAGGAGACCTGCAAGATGCTTGCTCTCGGAACCAAGGTCTACAACTCCACCAAGCTCATTCACGGCGGTCTCACCGGTACTACCCAGCACGACCTTGTCGAGCGCGCCGACGGTTTCGCCGAAGTCTTCCCCGAACACAAGTACCAGGTCGTAGAGATGTTGCAGCAGCGTGGTCACTTGACTGCCATGACCGGAGACGGTGTCAATGACGCCCCTTCGCTCAAGAAGTCTGACTGTGGTATTGCTGTCGAGGGTTCCACCGAGGCTGCTCAGGCCGCCGCTGATATCGTCTTCCTTGCCCCTGGTCTGTCTACGATCGTCTTGGCCATCAAGACTGCCCGCCAGATTTTCCAGCGTATGAAGGCCTACATCCAGTACCGTATCGCCCTCTGCTTGCACTTGGAAGTCTACCTCGTCACCTCCATGATCATCCTCAACGAGACCATCCGCGCCGAGCTTATTGTCTTCCTCGCCCTGTTCGCTGATTTGGCTACCGTTGCCGTTGCCTACGACAACGCCCACTCTGAGCCCCGCCCTGTCGAGTGGCAATTGCCCAAGATCTGGCTGATTTCCGTCATCCTTGGTCTCTTGCTCGCTCTCGCTACATGGGTCATCCGCGGAACTCTGTTCCTTCCCAACGGTGGTATCATTGTCAACTTCGGTGCTATCCAGCCCATCCTGTTCCTCGAGGTTGCTCTCACTGAGAACTGGTTGATCTTCGTTACCCGTGGTGGAAAGACTTTCCCCTCCTTCCAGCTTGTCGGTGCCATTCTCGGTGTCGATGCTCTCGCTACCATCTTCACCCTCTTTGGCTGGATGTCAGGTCACCCTTACCAGACCAACCCCCCTACCATCAACAGCAAGTTCCGTGATGACGGCTGGGTCGACATTGTCACCGTTGTCCTCATCTGGGCTTACTCCATTGGTGTGACCATCATCATTGCCATCGTCTACTACCTGCTCAACGCCATCCCATGGCTCGACACCCTCGGCCGCAAGGACCGCCACAGGAAGAACCCTCACATCGAGAACATGATCTCTGCTCTTAGCAAGCTGTCTCTCGAGCACGGAACTGACAAGAACGGCACCACCCGCTACGTCCTTGCTCCCCGCGCTGTTGAGGAGGAGGAGGATGATTAGATGTGTGCGCCTTACGATAGCGATGTGTAGTTGGATACGTATGACGGTATAGGGTTTCGCGAGCCCACCGACTCTTGTCACTATTGCAAGAGTCTAATTTCTAATCGCTGTCTTTACTAGTCTTCGATGTATACCAAGAAGCATAATTTCATTACTGTAACTGAATCCAATTGTCAAGATGTTAACGCTCCTCTCCGTGACCCGCATCGTGATCCATTCCTGCCTCACTTTCCAATTTCCACACTGCGCCAATTCATAACCTGATCCACTTGTGAAAAACTCTACCTCGCGCCGACGATCGCTGTTTCATCGTCTTGGACATTTGCACTATCTCTGAGGCTTAAAGACTCTGGACCCTCCTTCACCGGCTGCCCCATGCCTTGTCTCCATCACGAACCATCACACTATCGTTCGGTCCCAAGAAACGCGCTTTCCAGCCACCTTCCCAGGTGCCCCAGCCCGCGTCTTGAAGCCTCAAACTGAGGCACTCGCGCACCGCGAATCTCCCCGGAACTAGCAGCACATTGGTATCCACCCTAGGCCTGAACACGGGCCTAGGCTGATTGGCAGTCATTTTACCTTCCGGTGGAGCTAATGCACCCCCGCTACGCTTGTGCACAATTGGCGAATGCAAACTAGGTATTTGCTGTTTGTGAACGGTGTATTCCCGTGGAGGTGGTGGTGGATTGCCACAAGCGGGGTAGCTTCTTGCGTGCGAACGAGTGCAGGTGTGTGTGGAATTGGGCCAATGAAGAGGTTGAGAATGTTTTCTTGATGACGGTTTACAGTACGGCTTGATTGAAGAGAGAGATACGCGGGACAATGGACCGACCGAGATTGCGCATCGGACGATGCGCCGCCATGCACAATTCCCCCCCCCCCCCCCCCCCCCATCCAACGTGCACAGTGACATTTCATCGCGCGTCCCTTTTGCTTTTCTTTCCCCTGGTCTTTGTTCGCGAATCGCGTGGGGTCAACATGGCTAACCTGCCTTCACCCGTCGCGATATCGGGCCTTTCTGTCGTTACATGCGCCGCCAAGGGGATGGGTGATGAAGAGCGTCCCGTCGCAGGCCCCCAGGTCTTTCCAATACCTGGGCAATAAATAATTAAGTTACACGTGTGATGGGTTGGCATGCGAAACAGTGACATTATTCAAGACTTTTCTTGAGTGATGCTTGTAAATGTCTGGGCGCAATGCATGGGCCATCCGCGGACGTGATTGTTTCATTACAGTGAACATGTTCGGCAATCACACACGTCAAATGTCGCGGAGGAGGATGAGGAGTGCATGGATAGGTGACGTCTGATCGGCGCGGCTGAAGGCCAAAACGATACACAGAATTTCGCGACGTTGGGGTTGATTTGGCCGCGCCACCGATGTCATGGACGGATGGGGACTGTTGTTCCTGGCGAATGCGAGCATGGGGTAGAGATAAGCGATGGCTGGGGTCAGACGTGTGAGGTCGGAGGTTGGGTTGGGTAGACGTCATGGTGAGATAGGGAAGTGCAGCAAGGTGTGTATACACCATGTAGGTAGATGCAGGTGAATGCAGTTCATTGAGTTTTGCTGGCTTTTGCGCGATTACGGATGATGTCTTATCGATGGTCGGCGCGTGAAGTGAGCACTCTATTTGGGTCACCTCTGCTATCTTCAACTTGCAATTTTCAGAGTACGGGGTGCTGTGTTACCATCCATATCTATGAGAGATGTATTTCGAGGCCTAATATACTTCGCAGTAGGTACTCTTGCATCTAGGACCTCTGGCATGCCTTCTCTGCCTTGACTACCTTGCGGCGCCTTGTTGACTCACCGTGTCCCTTCGTATTACGAACCAAAACTTCAACAACATTCCATCCTAACCTCCAACTTCGTAGGATGAGCGGAATGGTTTTCAGCCTCATGTAGGTGACGCAGTCCAGGATGCCTGGTGAGGCTGAGCATGGCATACCATCACAGAGACGTTGACACGCGCGTGCTACCATGGGAATATCCAGTTTCCACTGCGGGTACAAGGCATAACTTCGCATCACTCGAGTCAAATGAATTTGGCAATGTCCACGCATTCCTATCCTGGGAGACCATGGCGAACAGAGACGTATTGACCTTGACCATCGGAGATTGAATCAGAGATCTCGAGAGGACTTTGATTTGCAGAGAGTAAAGACAGGCCTGTCTCGTATCCATGATTGGCCCGTCACATTGCCAGCACAACTCGTGCTTGCAGGACTATTCGCAAAGACCTTATCATGTATCACTTCGATTGAGACCGCAGCTCCAGTCGCTCGGATATAATTACTAGTCTGGCTCGTGATTTCCCATGTGCGCTCGGCTTCACATACTTTCACTCGCTGGGCCTTCACCAGATACGCGCTTGGGGTCTCTGCAGTCATTATAGCATTCCAAGATGACTGGACATGGCAGTCCATGTTCCGTTTTACGAATTCTGCCTGGTACCAGATTATGGTTAGGCTGCTTGTGTTGGTGAATTGCTATTTCTGCACTACTATTATTCGCCATCCTTTGACGATTTACGAATCTGGCTTCAAGTCATAAGGGCCTATGCAGGCTTTGGAATATTATTAGTGGGGTTGGAATGAAAAAGGGGGAGCAGGCGAGCCGTTCTCACACTTGAGGGGACGAAGTATATGATTAACTGTGTAGGGGAAAGAGATCATAGTTGAAGATAACAACGCTGAGCTGAAGTGTATGTCTGCGTTTATGCTACCACTTTCGCTCTGCTGCGTAGACGCAATGCTACTAGGAAGATCCGATGGCAAAAGATCATGCGCACATGCCTCACACCCAAGCTGCCCATTGTAGCTTTGGAAGTATCATTGTAGCACGACCGCTTCCCAGTTAACATCTCGACTTTTGGCTCTGCCATCCATAATGGATATAGCATTCACTCATTAGCCTGTAATGACTGCCCGGGACGTGTCTTAGAACAAGTGGGACCGAGCTAGGAGAAACTACTGTTATGATATCACCAACAGCCGCAGCAGCTGGCACGACACCCATCACGCCCTTGAGAGAGTGAGCAAACCTTCGAACACATTGCTAAAAGGTATTTCGAAAGATTGGAGGTGCAGCAGATCCTCCCGTGTCTGTGGCTGTTTTCTTCAACAGATCATCTTCCCTCCACGACTGTAACATTTATCCAATGGGTCGAATCGTATATCAACAACGACTGATGTCGAGAACGCTTCTTCATGGGTTTCACCAGCATATGGGTAGTCATGTTCCAGTGCCCCATCCATCCAGGATCGTAGCGCCTCAGCGTCAAATTGTTCGCAGATGAAAGACAAGCGGGAGATTTTGTGCGCACGATAACACTCTACGAGCAGGTCTGGTCCATTCATGACAGGCGGATTTCCTCTTAGCCTGTTGCATGCATCATAGGCCCTCATTATAGAGACGCTATCTAGAGTCTTCGTAAGGGGCTTGACAGTGATTCTGTTACTCTAGTCTGGGACCCAGGAAGGCACAAAGATATTCTGTGACTCACCTTGCATTTGCGCAGAGTCTGGCGCATGGTGCACCACGAAGCCTAAGATATCTAGATTGTGGTTTTTGCGCAAGTAGAGTTTGGCAAGATCCATATAAACCTGTTCAGTGGTGCGGGTGTAGTCAGGTGACATTTCGCATGCACTCAGATCAGTTGCTAGGTTCGTGGGGCGTAGATCTTATCTCGTGGATCTGCGCTTTTCGTATTCCGAGACGATTGACATAGGTCGATGAGCCGTGTCGTTCTTGAGCGATCGTTGGCAGACGAACCATCAAGTCGGCGAAATCCGCTTAGTCGCGCTGCTGAGCCTCCCATGCCGATATTGCGGACAAAATCGAGGTTTGGTGTTTCATGGCCAAAGTAGAGATGACCAAAGTAAACAGTGGCTGGTAGCTGCACCTTATCGAAGCGGTGAGATTCGCAATAAAACCATGTCATTGCTGGACCTGTCACCTCCTGCGTGATCCAGGCGTGTAGCCAATACTTTGAGTTGAAAATCTTGTTTGTTCCCGTCAATGTTGTATATGTTGGCGTGCCGGATTTATTGGAAATAGAATGTCATCTCTTGGGAGACACATAGTGGAATGTCATGTACATTTCATATCCGCCTGTCATAAATAAAATTTAAATAAGTCTAACGAATCCATGAGGAGGCTTGTCGCATTCTTGCACCCCCTAGTCCATATGAGGGCTTTCAGGCTCTCTTCAAAACTCAGGTGATCATCGCCTGTTCGACACCGCATCCGGATAAGAGGACTGAAATGTCAATGCAATGTATTTGCCTCTATAAGGCAGCTATATAATCACCCGCTGCTTCAATCAGTTTTACTCCAATACTCCAGCAAACTTAACATTCAATCCGCAACCCTCACTCGGTGCCCAACTCCAAAACCTTGTCAAGAACTGATCGCCAAAACTTCTCGTCCTCCATAGAATGCTCGAGCCAATCTCCACCAAAGCTCTGGCAAAGCTGCAGTGGGTACTGCTCTCGGATCTTACTCAGTACCATCATGTCCGCCTCGACAGCATTCCGGCCTCGGATATCCGTGAGGCGACTTCGCAACTCCCGCCTCGCTACCACATCAGGATTCTCTCCCTTCGCCACTGGCGCACGGTCGAAGCCGTAGAATTTGTTGCGCAGATATCGCATGATTGGCTTGCGCGCGCGCGGATCGTCGAGCCCAGTAGCGCCGTTCTTCGCCTCTGGGAGTCCGATTACTGGTGAATTTGTGACTTTCTTATCGCTTTTTCGGAGCGCCTTGCGATCTTCCATGTCGTGTGGTGGTGTGTCGAGGACGAGCCAGTCTCCCGTGCCGTCTTCCTTGAGGTCGCCATCGGTTGTGGTACGAAGTGGCCCTTTTTCATGGTCGAGCTTGCTAGAGTAATGTTGGATGCCATCTGGGAGGCGTGGACGCCGAGGTGGGATATCTGGAGACGACATTAGAGAGGCACTGATAGATGTAGTGAATGCTAAGGTGACTTGCCTTCATACATTGTTTCTTCTTCGATAGTGGAAGACACGATAGGGGCCTGTTTGGCTTCGTTGTTGGACATATTGCCAAGTGGATATGGCTGGGCCTATCCTGGTCGACGCGAATTGTTTGTCTGGGAGCCTATAGGTGAACTAGACAAACGTAAAACCGGACGGCTACGCACGCGCTACTCGTTGTGCGGATAATCAGATGCTACCGTGGTAAAGTTGTTGTGAGCGAAAGGACCCTGATCCAAACTTTATGGTGATTTGATTAGTGCGGAGTGGTCGATAAGTCAAGCTGTGGTGTCCATCTGGATATAGTGAGTGGTATGTGAATCGACACAATTTTCACGGCTGACACAATCGTACGCAATCAATCACATGGTTGACATGGCCATTGGAATTATGAAATCCTGCTTGCAATAAACTGCGACTGTCACCAGATATACTAAGCGCCACTTTTGAGCCTAGATCCAGTCCGACGGGCTCTTCAGTCCTAATCTTGTGCTTTCGCCCTCAGTCTTCTTCGCTTTGTCGTTCACACTTTCTATCTCAAAGCCTGCGACCTTCTTATAAATGCGTCCAACTTCCTCCAACTCTTCTTTCGGAATCACGTCATACACGTTTTCAAAACCGTCTGGTGCTCGCTCTTCCGCCAACTGAAGGACATGATCAGGACCGTTTGCGCGATTTGCCATGACGATCTTAGCGGTTGGCGGCAATCGTTCCTGCTCATAAGCTTTCAGCGCTTCTTCGATTGTTGTGCTTGACGAAGTGGTAGATGAAAGGTGTTTGGCAAGCGTCTCCGCGTCGATAATGGCTTGTGACGCGCCGTTACTTCCGATAGGATACATTGCATGGGCAGAGTCGCCCAGCAAGGTCAATCGACCAAAGGTCCAATGTTCGACGGGGTCCCGGTCAGACATGGGAAACTCAAACACCTTCTCGGTGCTGTCGATCAAGTCTTTCATCTCTAATCCTCCACATCGCCAGCTTTCGAAAGGCCCCGCGAAGACATCTTTGTTGACTGACTTGGTCCAGTCCGTCTTTGGAGGCGTTGTATCCTCGTCATCCTTCTCACGTATGCGAAGCTCAGCGATCCAGTTTACTAGCGACTTCCCCTTGTCTGCTGACCTCCGAGAGATTGGGTATGCGATGAATTTCTGGTCAGCGTGGCCAGCCCACACCATACTTGCGCCGGTCAGATATTGATCACGCTCAATACAACCGCGCCATAGCATACAGCCGGAGAATTTCGGGGGACCTTCATTCGGGTAAAGGATGCGTCGTGCTGTGGAGTTGATACCATCAGCAGCAACCAAAATATCACCTGTCACGCTTGACTGCGCTGCAGGCACTCCATCCCTTCTTTGCGAAAATTGTGCTGTGATGGTCTTCTCGTTCTGCTCAAACCCAGTCAAAGCGTGGTTCAGGTGCAAAGCGTCATTGCCAAGTCGTTCCTTGACCGCACTCAGCAAGAGCATTTGGAACTCTCCACGATGAATGCTGAATTGAGGTACAGCATATCCTGCTGCTACACCGCGCTTCTCGCTCAGTATGCTATCGCCATGCCTGTTGTAGAAGTTCAGTTCTCGCGTCTGTATTCCGGTCTTCTCCAGCGCTTCCAGTAGTCCAAGGTTTCGCAAGATCAGTACTGCAGAAGGTTGCACATTGATACCGACGCCCAGCGTCGTCAATTGTGACGAAGCCTCGTAAATTTGGATGTTGGTGAATCCTGAGGCATGGAGTGCAAGCGCGGCAGTCAGGCCTCCGACTTAATTTGGAGCAACAAAGTTAGTGGGTGTTCGAGAGAAAATTCCTTGTCCAGGAAGCTACATACTGCCGGCGCCAGCAATGATTATTTTTGGTTGACTTTCAAGGTATGGCATGGCGATTGTGAAACCGTGGAAGCAATGTGGATCAGGGAAGAGGAATGAGGGTCGACGCATATTGACAGAATGTGGTGCTGTTTTTGAAGGCGTGGTCCTGGGCCGATTACGGCGCTACCAAGCCCATCGACATCCCGAGGTAGCTGCCGTTTTGAAGCCGGCGGTGGATTCGATTTTTCCGTGACTGCGGCCTCATTGCTATGCATATAGTGCATGTCAGCATTTAGATCCACCCTGAAACCCCTCCTGAAGAGAGCGGCCAGTGCAATGTCGATACAGATATGCTTGGTTGAAGAAGTTTCCCGGCCGACAGTTTGTGGTAGGTACGTTTTGAGTTCCAGAACGCCGATCTCGGCTGAGTTCGTGCCTACCGAAGAGGAGCAAGTCTATACAACTACAAAAATGTCTCATCGCTCAAAATCTTATACCGTAAAATCCCATCCACTTTGTCGGACGCTAGCAGGGGGCGGGAGCCTCTCTAGCTAGACGCAGTTTACGGTGGCTCCACCTCCACAGAGCTTACTTGTGTTAAGAAAGGACACGTTAGCAGTTTCAGCAAATTAGTGCTGATGAGTATTATCTAGTGTTATCTAAAGTTATCTAGGCAATGCTGCCCCCTGCTAGCGTTCGACAAAGTGGATGGAATTTTACGGTAGAACATACACACGAATTATTGGGTTCGATTTGCATTGGTAGTTTCTACTGGATAAATCACTGAAGTCCTCGCGTACTCATGGCCCTCAATTTCGGCCCGTAAAACCACAGCAACACCGGGCTGATCAAAGCAAGAAACAGAGTAAGAAAGGCCAACAAGCTATTTCCCCATCCTAAGCCCATCGTTTCATACATCTTCGGTGCAAAGAGAGGGAAGCTAAAGCCCATCATCGTGCGCATGAAGGCACCCACCGATGCCGCGGACGCCCCTCGTTGCTCTAAAATAGAATTGAAGCTCGTGACCAGTCTTTCCTCACGTGGCTCAGTCTAGAGCAATCAACAGCACAGCATGTTTCCAACGAACATAGTCCATTGGAAGCCAGTGAAATGGCAGGTCAACTATCTACTTCCTCAGAAGTCATCCACCGTCGGCTTTTTCCAATTAGCCATATCTATCTGCTCTGTGGCCTGCTGACCAGCGTCGTCCGTGTATCTCACGGAGAAAGAACCCCTCGGAGCACCACTGGCTATAAATGCGGCCTCTGCCGCCGTAGCCTCAATATTGTGGGCAATATCGTCCTGTCGGACAGTGCTCTGAATGTCCCCACCCCAAGGGCCCATAGCGGGCGTATGATTGAAATACGCCAAGTTGTCGGTGTTGATATGGCTGGCGTTCGGGTTGAAGACCCTAGAATTTGCGGCGGGATGGCCAGTGACGCGCGGATTCCGAATCCCGTTTCGAGAAGTATTGGGACGACCTTGACGATCGTTGGTGGCGGTCCGGTGACCATTGTTGGAGGCGGTCGCGTGCTGGCTGGCACCGAGTCCTGGTGTGGGGACGGGCTCTTGACCAGTGTTGTGAGACGAGTCAATAATACTCTCAACCTCTTCGTGATCGGCATGTTCGCCAGCATTATCGGTCTGTTGACCCTGTTCAAACGTTCGCTGTTGCGACCGCTGTTTTCGGCTAGCAAGCCAGGATTGGTATTGCGGCAAGGTGTAAAACCTGCCCGGTCGAGGTGGCATCGGCACTTCGTGGTTCTCATCCACCAAGCCTAGCCTCTGGTTCGCAACGAAGTGCTGCACGGCGACTCGCAGAAATGCGATCCCGGCTTTGGACCCGCCATTCTCAGGCAGGGGATTCGCGATTATCGCACGGCATTCATCGTCCTTTAGCCACGTGTGCTGGCTACGACAGTTAGCGCCACGGGGGCAAGGAGTGCCGCGGTAGCCAAAGACAGACATGCAAAGCCCGGGTCGACATTGCTCGTTGAGACCCATTTTCTTGCCGAAGACTTGACCTTCTGTCGGCCAGCCTTGACCGAAGGACGCCGGCACAGGACGTGGACCCTCTGCCGTCTGGGTGGTCTTGATCAGCCACTCGACGCGTTCCACGAGGTCGGTTGGCCCTTGGTCCATTTGCGCAGAAGAATCTGCATTTTGCGCAGAAGAATCTGCATTTTGCGCAGAAGAATCTGCATTTTGTGCAGCAGATGCTGCATAACTTGTCGGAGCACGACCACCGTTTGGCACGGCGACTGGACGCATTGGAGGTTTTTGCTTGTTCGGTACTTGACCAGCAGGAGGGAGATTCGGATAGTTGGAGCCTCCAGTACCGGGTCGCCCCGGGACGGCGTTGCGACCAGAGTTGTCGACAGGATCGCCAGCTTCATCTACGCTGGCAGGCACAGTAATTGTATTGTGCTTGCCGGTGCAGTGAGTGAGTATCGTCTGGTTTTGCACAGACCGAGCTGCCCAGCGAGAGTTGTCTGGAGCAGTGTGCGGCGTGGAAGCCGGTACAAGGTACGCGGTACCATTGGGGTTGATCGGCACAAATGACGTGCCAGTCTGTCCACGAATCTTCGCAGCTATGTGCGTCGCTTCGAATCGACCGAAGGACTCCTCTTGAGGATCAAAGGTTTGTCGGCTCATGCCAGCGATTATCTCGTCCAATTTGTCGTTGGAGAATCTCAGACGCGTAGTGCCTTTCAACCCAGTTAGCTATAGTCCACAAGAGTGTTTGAGTCAAAGAAACTTACTGTCGTCTGCCGCGCTACCATGATGGTCAGAGCGCCGGTCGCGGCTTGATCGTCGAGCATCCCGAGAACGGGAGCGCCGAGCATCTCGAGAATGAGAGCGCCGCCTGGTGTGGCGGGGAGGAGTAGGTGAGCGCCGCTCAGTGCGGCGAGGAGCATCTCGTGAACGAGAACGAGAAGGAGAGCGCCGCCTGGTGCGGCGGGGAGGAGTAAGGTGAGCGCCGCTTGTTGCGGCGATAGGCATCTCCAGAAGGAGAACGAGAAGGAGAGCGCCGCCTGGTGCGACGGGGAGGAGTGGGTGAGCGCCGCTCAGTGCGGCGAGGAGCATCTCGTGAACGAGAACGTGAGCGCCGCTCAGTGTAGCGAGGAGCATCTCGTGAACGAGAACGTGAGCGCCGCTCAGTGTAGCGAGGAGCATCTCGTGAACGAGTGCGATCGCGGGCGTCACGCCCATTGTCGTCACGACGTGACCGGTGGTGGCTGGTTGATCGACGTGAAGGATAATCGCGGTATCCCATGACGAGTACCCAATGCTTCACTTGAATTAGCACTGCGCCCACGGCTTTTGCAACGCAGAAAACTTTACCAGTTGTGTGTGCAGTTGAGGTCGATGAGGGAGGGGAAGCGGAGGGGGAGCACAAAAAGCTTTTTATCAGCTCCGCGACGCAAACGCGATTGGCGCTAGCCACAACTGGCCTAACGGCGTTGCCGCGACAGTAGGTGAGAGAGGCAGCTTGTTTCGCATGAATGTGTATGGTAGCGAAGCTTTGGTGTGAGGATTTATAGTCCAATTCCCTGGAAAGCGCACCCCTTCACTCTACATAGAAGGACGATCACCCACGCCCAAGTGCGTGACGAGATGGTGGCGTACAAGTGGTCGCATGTGTTTTTTTCGTAGCCTGTATCCATCAAATACAGCTGCTTGGTCGTGCCCGAGGAAGTCGTGTCATTTTAAGATGTATCAATCCTCAACCTAGGACTTCGGTGGTCGACAGTAGGGACCCAGGGCATAAGTCTCAATATCCTCTGTAGAGGAACGCATATGTAATGTATTCGCTCGAATTGCAGTAAGAAGTTCTCTGTCGTGTATCATTTGGCAGGTTAACAATTCAACTAACAGCAAATGTGGAGCTTGACGAGACGTCGTTGGAAGGAAGCAGACTACACAGGAGGGTGACCGTAGATGAAAGGGTAAAACTAGAAACGAATGTCAAGATGACTGGAATGGACTGAGATGGTAATACATAGCATCGCATGGACAAAGAAATGCTCGAAATCAAATGTAAACCACACCAGCAAGCTTCCAGAAGGAGGAGCACAACATCAATGAAATGATGCCGATGGACTTGAATTTTGCATTCGCTGGTTGGGAAAGACAATAAAAGGAAAATATATGCATGACAGACTCTAGAGATTAATACTTCGGGCACGCGCCAGGGTTCCTCAGATACCATAGGTAGGGTCTGTACTGTGGCGAATGTGACCCGGCATTAAGCTGTTCATACCAATCCTGGGCAACACTCTTCATGTCTGTGACTGTGCAGAATTATTCTGTGTAAACAGTAGAACCCTGCCGTAAAGTTGATCAGCGTTAGTGGGAATGGGTGAAGTTTAACGAGGGGACGTATTTACACCTTATTTTGGTCGAAGAAATTTAATCAAATTAGCCGATGAGCGCTCGCATTCGAATGTCAGTCAATTCGGCATGCTGTGTAGGTGCTACCTCGACGTCGCTGATGGTGGAAAGGAAAGCAGACGTCTTCTCGCTTAAGTCAGCTGAGGAAGACGCTACCCCGGAAAGTGCGCTGGGCATAGCCATCCGCCACCGACAGAGGATTTCCCAGGCCACATGGCGAGCCATGTTGTGGTGGAAATCGTTATGGGTTGCTTTTACGACAATGAACTGGTTCCGTTCGCCGCTTACTGTAATCCCAGATCTTGTTGTGGAGTTCCTTGGTCGCAGGTCAGGACGCAAATGCATTGCGCATCGTCCAAGCTAGCGTCTTCCTTGTTTCCACGACATGTGGCCGCCTCCTACAAACCTCATCTATCGCACAAGACAGCACTACTGCACGGTCAGTCTTGCTACCCATCTTTCTCCGTGTGTCCCGTACATCACTTGGGCCGACGTCTCTTACATTACCCCTCTCACGGGACGTCCATGGTGCCAGCGTTGGACGCCTGAGGTTGCTCTGGTAAGACACATTATCATGCCTGATTGCCTGCCTAACACGATACACAGATCGCCTTCCGAATAACGCATCGTACCAAGCTCGAAACACGCCTCATCTGTCGCCATCCCCGACTTGCCCAATCCATCGAGACTTTCCAACGTGGACCTAGAGACGAGCCCGAACATCACAACCGTAACAGGATTTAGACGTCGCGCCTGGTGCACGCTCGTGTTCGCGCACATTGAGATACCTTGCAGCGCTTGATTGGTCTCAAGGGAGCGTTGCAGTGGATGATTAGAATGCCTCAAATCAGTATTAAAAAGATCTGCAGAAGTATCAGCCTGCTCTACTAATACATATCTAAGCAGGCGTTCCATTTGGGTCAGGACAGTGCCACCATAGGAGCGCTCGTACGTCTTGGAGATAGAGTGCTGCAAGACCAAGCTAGAGGAGTTGCAGAAAAGCTGTACATCACAAATACCTTGTGCGTATGGTCGATCACAAGGAACAGTCTGCCCAGGAAAGGAATGAAGAGAGATAGGACTCACCGCTACCGAAATGAGATGGGTTCCCTGATTCAAAAACATCCATGATACTGGCTATGCCAAACCGCGGGTCTGGACGCCTAAAAGACGGCTCAGAAGCGCCAACTGAGGCTGTTAGCGATGCAATCAGCTACTACAAAGCCACTTAAAAAGAAGGGGTTGGCATGGCGCAACGCAACGCAACAACCAGATCCCACCATTGCTCGTGTACTAAGCGGCAAGTCTGTTGTAAAAGACATGGCCAGTGTGTGCGAGGGCTCATCCACGGTGACGCATTTCCTTGGATGCATAGTTCATGATTTCGGAATCTGGTTATACGGCACGATCAAATGGTGAACACTAGATTGTATTCAACTACCAAGCGCCGCATCTGCGGCAATTATCGGTGCTTCACCCACCACGGCCAGTCGACCAGCGCGGCGTTGATTACAGCCTCCTCTGGGTTCTCTTTAACCCAACCCAACGCATCCATGAGCGCAGAGAAATACGTCTTCTGCACCAAAGTCGGGCGCGCGGGCGGGTGGCAGCTCATTGGTGCGTCCTTCTGGGTCGCACCGTACCAAACAGAGTTTGGCTGGTGCATCTTTTCGCTGTTGATTGTCAGTTAAGGCGGCAAATGTCATTTGAGTGCATAGAACTCACCCGTTCTTGGCGCCGATCCAGGACGCGACGCGGCATGCCATAGCCTTGATCGTCTCATCTGGCTCCGTTCCGGCCATCTTCGACTGCACCATATCACGATGATAATTTGCTAGACGCCGGCCCTTCACTCTCAGCAAAAGCTCATGGGCAAAGAGCAGAATGAAGTCGGGATCGAGATTCCCAATGTCCACAAAGGTCTTCTGTGCTACGGCGAAGGCATTGGCCTCCATTTCCTTTTTGCGGTTCTTCACCTTCTCATCGACTAATCTGTCGATGATCGCGGCGGTGTCTGCACTGTTGGCCTGCACTAGGCCTTCGTCATACGCCTTGTTTAGGTTGTCATCCTTCTCATTCAACATGTGAACCTCGCGTTCGAGGGCGGCTTTAGCGGTCTCCTCGGCCATTTTTTCCGCGGCGTCAAGAGACACCAGCTTCTCGGTGTATTCCGACACAGTTTCGGTCAAAACCTTGCTGTTGGTTTGGATGGTCGTGAGCTCAGCCATCAGTTTGTCGCCACAGTCGGCAATGGATTCGGTAACCGCGGTGGTCGCGCTCTCGTCCTGTCTCTCGACTGCATTGCGCAACTCGTTGATTGCAGTGGACACCTTCGAAAGGACTTGCTCGATTCCACAAAAGTGTGCCGTGGACGACAAGGCATCTACTCTAGCCTGTTCCTGCTGGAGCTCGAGCCGAGCCGCAGCTATGTCTGATGATGCCGCAGCAAGGTCCTCACGCTCGGCGTTGTGTTTGACCAGCTCCTTTTCCAGGAAGTGTTTAGTATCGGCGCCTGCCTTTTTATTCGCTAGCACGGTCTTCACCAGCTGAATTCGCCGCGCCTTGTCTCTCCCCTCAAGGATCGATGTCGTCTTGGCCTGACGCTTGAGCAGTTGCATTGTGCCCTTCGGTGACAATGTCACCATACCGGTCTCGCCAGCGGCCTGGTCGTCGGTGAAGTCGCCCAGCTTGGGCTTTGTATCGTGCAAAATGCACCAGTATGCAATGTGCTCGCACAGGAGCTCGGCGTCGACCTTGATTGCGTCGTTGTATTCGACCGTGGTGGCTTCTAGGCCTCGTGTGGGTGGCTGCGGTTGAACCAATGTCCGCATCCCGTCAGCGTATTGCGGGCCGTATTCCCCTGTGGCAGTCAGCTTTCTGTCGTTATGAGCATGGAGAGACACTTACTTATCGCACGGGACCTGTCAAATACGACAAATCCGGAATCGACGGAGTATTCCCAGAGACTCTTTCTGTATTCGACCAAACAGATGGCTGTGTTGGGAAACATGATCTTCTCGATGTCATAATCGAGCTCGTCTGTGACCTGATCGCCCGCTCGCGGGCCTGGGTGCGCCGTAGTAGTGGCATTTGTGGCACTAGAGCCTGGGTCCTCCACGACCAACTCAGAGCTGGTGCTCGTGGTGCCGTTGCTTGCGCTCGCGTTCGAGCTTTGTTGCGCCTCAGGGTTGGCATTCTTGTTAGCGGGCTTTGGGCCCTGTGCGCTCGCGTTAGAGTTGGGTCGCGCCCAAGGTCGGGCATTCTTGTTGGCGGGCTTTGAGCCCAAAGATGATGATCGTGGGCGCGCTGTGGCACCATCGCCGCGTGGAAATTCCATGGTGAGGGCGGCGTGTCCTTGGACACCAGGACAGTCTATTTCACTGTCGAGAGTGGAAGGGAACCGCGTGGCTGGTTTCAAATCAACCATGTGCGTTGGTGTTGCGGTTACCGAGTAAAAAGTGCGGTACAATTCTTTTATCAACACGCAGTCTTGGCATAACACGCTGCGCAAACGCTCACACACACTAGGCTCAAAACGTGCACCATTGGTTGTTCGATGTGTCCAATCGCATGTTGTCGAGGGCAAATTTCATTCACAGCAAGGCAGAACATCACGAAGCGGTGCGGTCCACTCATAGGTCCAGACACAAAGGTTCTGTATCAACGGGTCATACTGACCCTGTCTAATCCCAGGTCATACGGCTAAGGAGGCTATGCCCCCGAGGCATCGTTCCCTGCCTCTCCAGCTCTGCTATTCGTGCTAATAGTTGTCTCTCTCTGTCCTTCTGTCTGTTATATTCCGCCTCGCTGCTATCCAGACGATAATGACGGGATCGATCATGAGACCTTTGTCGATAGGACTGGTTGCGGTCATGAGACCTTCGGGACCTCACTGGAGAGTCTGAGCGATCACGGCGATGTCGTCGATAGGACCGGCTGCGGTCTGGAGACCTTCGGGACCTCACTGGGGAGTCTGAGCGATCACGGCGATGTCGTCGTCGATGGGACTGGCTGCGGTCTGGAGACCTTTGTCGATAGGACGGGCTGCGGTCTGGAGACCTTCGGGACCTCACTGGGGAGTCTGAGCGATCACGGCGATGTCGTCGTCGATGGGACTGGCTGCGGTCTGGAGACCTTCGGGACCTCACTGGGGAGTCTGAGCGATCACGGCGATGTCGTCGTCGATGGGACTGGCTGCGGTCTGGAGACCTTCGGTGACGAATGGGGGAACGGTTACGCGACCTGGATCGAGATCGAGAATCCCTTGAGTCTGAGCGGTCACTGCGATTATGTGGCCCTTGGAAATGAGATCGGTCGCTGGGCGACTTAGATCGAGTGCGACCACGATGGTCGTCGCGGCTGCTACCACGATCAGGTTGCTGTGGTTGGACCGGAGCCGCGTTTGACAGGCAATGCGGCGTCTCTATTTGACAATTCTGAGGTATCGTGACGACAACATTGTCCAGTTCATGCGGGAAGCAGTCAAATTCGGTGTAACCCAGGCTCGACAAGATGCGTTGCTCGGGAGGCGACGGCTTCAATTGGACTCCACTTGGGATATAGCGAGACGATCTCTTCTTAGGGTCGGAGCCGACCACGATGAAGCGTTTCCAGAATTGCCTCGAGCAGTACATTCTCGGGCAGACCTAACCTTTCAGTAACTATTACACGATGGAGCGGAGGAACATACACGATTTGGATGCACTTCTTGGTCGTTGCATATCATGCATATGCAAAGTTCGGGCCCATGGTCCTCGGGGGCCACCCCACAGCGGAAACAAGCTCCTTTGCTATCGTCGCGCAGTGATGCGCCTATGGTACGGAGATGCGTCTCCAATTGGAACGTATTGAGTCCGATTATCTTGGCCGGAGGCAAATACATATGCGGCGGAAAATGTAGCCCATCTCGTTCTGGGTTAGCGAGGTTTGACATTGCCATGGGAATCTTTGCGTACCGTTCGCTGTCGTCTTCATCTCGTGAACGAATGGACGTTCGTCCATCGTGCCAGGCTTCCAGCGATTGCGCGCCATGATTGTGGTGAGTTGTCGAGGCACGGAAAACACAAAGGTGTTTGAGGGGACGGTTGGAAGGCGCGCTGCACTAGCGTAAATCAACGCTACTCTCATTTGGTCGAAACCTTGACCTCACCCGGGTAAGCAAAATGCATGTCAAACAATATTGTGATTCAGAAGGCTCTACGACGAGATCCATGGAGCGTTTCCAACGTAGACATGGTGATAAGCGGTATTATATGTGAACAGCCTGGTCTGGAACCGTGCAACAGTACTGCATGTATTAGTGGGCGTGCGGCAGAAACAGACAAGTGCTTTCAAGTGGCTCCTTCCAATAACGAGGCCTCCGTGCGCGCTTCACAGGGTGACTTCATCACCACCTAGGGCATCCAAATACTATACCGTGCCCAAGACTATGATGGAATACGAACGTAGCTTTGAGGCGGTTCGCCGCAACTCGCGTCCCCCAGCTCCTGGGCAGCAGCCCTGTGATCAAGATGGGCCAACGCCCGACATGGAAGCTGATGAGTTTCTGCGCCGGGCCTCGGATGCGAAGACGTCACAGTGTGCACTATCAGTTCCAACACCGTCACGACGAAGAGACTTTGGCCGGGGTAGAACACCCGGAGAGCTAACCTAGAAGATAAATTGAAGTGGATTCAGCGCGTGGTATCCGAAACCGAATCAAGAGGTACATGATGTTTGATCTAACAGTGTATCGCTAACAGGGATACCAGGGAGCGAGGAGACGATGGTTGATGTGCAAACAAACGCAGCCCACGTAGAAGATCAACGAGACCAGGTGCAAGCTTCACAGCTAGATGCAGAAGCAGCACACATCGATGCCGAGGCTGCTGCAATGCTGGCGAGGGCAGCAAAGCTGAGGCGGCCGCTTTACGTGCCGGAATAGATTCCCGCCGGCTTGCTCACATGTTGCGCGACTAGTCCATGGATTGATGCTAGCTTCGATAACTCGGCAGTCACGATCGTTCTGACACTCACCTACCAGTGCACCGCAGCCATCAGCATGGCGCAAGAAGTCAGCATTTACCAACTCCTGGGTGCTTGCACCGCATTGGACATACAATTTTCGTCTGACAATGATGATAATGTCGAAGACTCCGACGACACCCCAACACAAGCTCGAGCTTGCGCGCCAAAGTGAGGCTGAGCTAGAGGATCCACATAGCACATGGAACCGACTTGAAACTGCTATCGAAAGACGTGTAGCTTTTGTAGAAGACGCAGTGAAAGCGATCGAGATCGCGAAAACTGTTGGCCAGAATGCGGCCGAAAGTACGTGACAGGGACGCGCGCGTGTGTGTGTGTGTGTGTGTGTGTGGCAATTCTGACTCGAGTGCTAGATGCTCGTGACGATCAAGGTTACGAGGCCTGGAGTGCTCTACTAGCAGCTGATCCGATACAAAAGCGAATGCAAATCCTCTCGAGCGAGGTGAAACAGAAAGGGCATGTTATCGGGGGAATTTCCGCGGCCTTAGAGCATGTCCGGGAACAGCACACCGATTGCGACACCAAAATCAAGCAGCTCGAGGGCGAACTCTCCCAGTGGAAGAAAGACCACACACACTGCTCTACCCAGGGCGCAACGATTGCCGATCTCGAGGGCGAACTCTCCCAGTGGAAGAAAGACCACACACACTGCTCTACTCAGAGCACAACGATTGCCCGTCTCGAGGACGAATACCAGCGCGTCCGGGAACAGCACCGCAACTGCTCTACCCAGGGCGCAACGATTGCCCGTCTCGAGGGCGAATACCAGCGCTTCCGGGAACAGCACCGCAACTGCTCTACTCAGAGCACAACGATTGCCCGTCTCGAGGGCGAATACCAGCGCTTCCGGGAACAGCACCGCAACTGCTCTACTCAGAGCACAACGATTGCCCGTCTCGAGGGCGAATACCAGCGCTTCCGGGAACAGCACCGCAACTGCTCTACTCAGAGCGCAACTACCACCAGCCTTCAGCAAAAACTGCGAGACTTGGGGCCATCGAATCGCGAATGCTCGAATCAGAGTGATACTGCCACTAAGCTGATAGGCCAAGCCCATGGCCGGCAAATCAATGGCAAACGCACCGAGGAAACAGTGTCGATAAGACGAAGAACAGATGCCACCCCTCAATTGATGGGCGAGGTGGACGTGCACAGAGCTACCACTGTGCCTGATACAACCATGGCGAGCGTGTCTCGCATCGAAGCCAGTCTCAAGAGTGTCTACATGCTCGCGAGTCTCTGCCTAGCCAAAGGCGCCGAGCGCACTGACAACCCTGTATCCGCCAAGTATAAAGCTTTGGAAGAGCTTGTATTGAAATGGGGGACTTCCGACATCCGTGGTGACTACACCGATGCAACTCGATCGGCGTCTTTTGTCGACCTATACCGGGATCTAGCTGTCGGTTTCGAGAAGCTGGCAATGTCTCATATGACACAGGCACGAGATCTGCAGAATATGGCGTCAAAAGTGGTGCAATTGCGCGCCGATGTGTTTGATCTGAAGGCAGATCGCGATGAGTGGAAGAGGCACTGCCTCGCGGTTCTTACCAAGGCTGAAAGTGAACAAAAAGCCGCACACGGGAGAGAGTCGGCACTCAAAGAGCAGCTGAAGGGGATGGCCGAGTTTATCGGCGAGCTTCAGCGTCTTCTGGGAGACGACGACAATCAAAAATTGTTAAACTAGATACAAAAAACATTCATTAATGTCAAATTCGTGAGGTGCGGTGTTCCAAGCCGAATAGCACGTGAGAGGCGGCCAGAATGGTCGCTCCTTCCTTCCAATGAATCCAACGTTCTCTCACCTCACATTTGGCCACCAAGATGCCACCGAAGAAAGGACCTTCGCCACCTAACAGTGAGGAGTAAGTTGTCTCTATGTCTGATACCCTCATTGATACTCACTGCAAACAGGACCTCCCCTCCGCGAAATCTGCGCAGCGGTCGACAAATGCGCGCCCCTATACAGCCTGCATCTGCCACACAGGCGAAACCAGGTACTCGAAGTACCGCCCAGGCATCGAAAACTGCCGTTGCACCGGCGAAGGTCGATAGCTCTAGTAGAGCGATATCATCGAACAAGAGAAAATCACGGAATCTCCCATATTTCGTGACAAACAACGAGAATACTGTCATGAGTGACGCTTATACGGAAAACATGACGCCGTTCACGAACGCAGGGCCGCTACCACAGCACAAGATTGAGCTGTTACATAGGTCAAAGACAAGACGATCAGCGAGAGGGCCCCCAATGGCTACATCTGTTACAGGTACAATGGAAAGGCCCGAAAGGGCGTCGAGGTAAGCCGTAGCAAACTGTCACCTTTGATGCCCTCTTGTTGACATCCACCAGTCACGCCGCGATAGGTCTAGATACCCAAGACCTCTTAGGCGAAAACCTATCTTCGCAGAACACTGTACTGCAAGAGCTTGCCAAAATCGGCGACACTGAAGATCACCCACATGAGATCTCGTCACGGGCGTCTTCGTCAACCGACGGCAGCGAAGTCGACGACAGCGCCGGCGAGAAAGGGAGCACCGCTCCTGCCCTCGCAAAGCTCACTGAGGGTGACAACGGAGATGGCCAAGTTGCGGATGAGAGGCCTGGTGATGGCAAATTTGTTCCTCAGTCGGCCACGACGTCGGACGACAGCCTTTACAGGCCACCGTCACCCCAGATAAAGGCATTCGCCGGAAATGGTGCCAATGGTGTCGCAAGCTCCAGAGGCAATAGTCTCGCACAGTCAGTCCGACACACACATACCAGAGGTCTCGAAGCAAGCAGCTCTGTATCGGATCCAACACACGACGACGGGCCTGACCATACGGCCGATAGCGGCGTTTTTGACCATACTTCAGACATACTAGTCGAGACGCAGGACGAATATCCGCAGCGCAAGTCCTCGTACAATTACCCCGAGCATGCACCTGATGGGCTCACGGTCTTAGCCGCACTCGCATACCAGCACGCAAAGGTCCACGGATGGATCCCGAACGATATGGACGACGCATCCTGGCGGGCTACGGCCGTTCCTTTGCTCTGTAGCATGGATAGTCAGGTACTCAATCGATTGGTGCATGGGCGCCGCCTGGAGCCATCCATATCCGATCGACAACAATCGAAATGGGCCACGAATGGCGGAACAGAAGCACCTGTGATCTATGCCAGGGCATTTTGCGACGGGCGAACTGGACGACCGATCACTGCCGGTGAGCTACGACTTGTCATTGCCCGACTGCGTATCTACACGACACTGGAGCCCACGGATGATGAGGTTGACCTCATCACGGGTGTTGAGGAGCAAGCTCCGCGTAATGAACCAAAGGATCGACATATCCGGTCCGGCCGGAGACATTTCTTTGGAGAGCAGCGTCTAACCGCCGATTTGCATGTTCGAGCATCCAAGATTCTCAGCTTCTGCCAAAGGTGCGAGGAGCGAATGCAGCACATGGAGGACTCCGAAGATTTCCGTATGCTCTTTTACATCGGCTACACATTGGTATTTACCGCACGAATGGAGCAACACCGCTCCGCTTCCGGTAACACAAGCTGGTTCATGAACTTGTTCCTGGCAACGTGCAAGGCGGTCCTCATTTCAAAGAAGGAAAACTGGTCGTTCCAAGACACCGCACTATGCTTCTGTGTCGATGAAACAGAAGTCTTCGTTGGGGAAATCTTGATGACACTCCTCTCTGGGGCATGGTATGCCGAAGGCACAGGCTTTGGGATCCATCCTCCTGGTAAAAGCGTGTCGAGCTCACTTCTAAACGAGCGCACGAACGAACAAGCGCGAGAATTATGGAAGCGCTGCCGGGAATTCCGCAAAAGGCGCACGCCCTACCAAGTGAACATCAACGAGGAATTCAGACGAGTTACCGAATATCCTACTCGTCGATGGCAACAGCTAAGTGCTAGCGCCGAAGATGTGTCCGCGGCGCAGGTCGAGACGCGCGATATACTGCGTCGTGTCGTAGTGGAGAAGCATGCCCGATGCGACGAAATGCTAGATCGGCTAGCGACAATTGACGAAATCGCCGATCAATACCAGCAGTACTATGCAGACCAAGACCGCTTAGTTCGTTTCCGTCGGATTAACGACGAGTTCAGAGAGAGAATCGCACAGCTGCGGCCAGAACCCCATTTCTCTGAGATGGAGAGGCAAGAGAGCGAGCTTCCGCCATGCACAGAACGTGGCACCACCATTGGCATGGAGAGCGTATTGCCGTACGACACGTCGTATCTCGGCGAAGACCACCCAATTCCGAGCACGGAGCTTGGGACAGAGGCCCCAGGGCCGAGCAATTACAATATAGGAGCCCATCCTGGGCGATAATACATGTCATGGAGCCGTGATTTCGTTGTCTTTCGTCTGATCAGCTTTTGTCTGCTTGTGTCCAAAGTGATGTCATTGCAACACTGCCGCGCATTGACGCTTGAACGCGGCACCAGTGAATCCCATGACAACTACGCGGTAGTCTAGAAAAGGAAGAGATGGCTCTCGGGTGTTTCAACGAAAGTTTGCCATGCGAAACAACAGCATAACATCCACAACAAGACAGCTCTTTCCAGTCACGAACAAGGGAGAGTCTATCATCTGTTATCATTGCTCGCTTAAGATTGAACCTCTAAGCTATCGTACACCACTGTCGGTCTGCAGAATGGTCGCTAGCACATTTTACTGTGGAGAAGCGTTGTGCGCGTCGACGAGTGGCAAATAGTTGAGCAAGCGCATACGCCCTTGACAAAGATAATAAAACTAGTTTACAGGACGAACCGTATCTACACATCCCTATAACCAACAGAGAACGATACACTGAGTACATCTGTATAACATGCACGCTCTTGAGAGGCACGCTGTGGAGCCGCATGACTTAATAGGTCCTGTCCAGGTCGCAATGGGCGCCCATTCCTTTTGTTTAACCCCCACACGCCAAAAGCATCGATTCCCCGACGAGAATGCACCTTAGCGACGCATACTACACTTTGAATCCATAGGTGCCTCGTTCAAACATCATCCTAGATGAGGACACTCCCGCGCTTCCGCAGAGTAGGTACGCCAGGAGCCGTTATCACATGTCGCGCTAACCGGTCAATCACCAGGTCAAATACCCAAGCCCATCAAGCAGCTCGCAGCATCACACGCCCTCTAGTGTTATCAAGGGTAGAGTATCGTCGAGTTAGACCCCATGCAGGACAGTGGCCGCTCTTGGCTACCAGGGCAACGTTCGAGGCAGAGAAGCGAAAAGACTACAACGACGAGGTGCTGCCAGGGCTTTGATGCGATACCTGCGACTGCTCCACGGCTGGATTGTCGAGACGATTAGGAGCACAGACGTCGAGGCGAATTGTATCAACCCTCAGCACACGGCTCTCAGGGTCAACAGCAAGGCGCTGTAACGAGCCTCTGGATTCTTATGCACCATGGATCATCTCAGTGCAGTGGGATCGTCGAAAGCAAGATACCCATGTATGCTGATATCCGAGAATACGGCAGGACTGCGCTGCATATGGTCGCCCATCAGTCTCCCGGACTGAAAACGGAAGCCAAATCTAGTAAGTCAGAGTGCTGGTGGCGGAAGAAGCTGCTAGTCGTCTTTGGTTAGAATTCAAGATACACACCGCCCAATAGCCTTTGTTATCCCCATACCAAGTGTAATACATTCGCAATACAGCCTGTAGTTCTTAATGTTGTGGCCTGAAAGGTACAAGTAGGAAGAAATCTAAGTTGCACTTTCTCTATAGAGAGCGCAAGTTAGGTAAGCTATTAGCCGTTCGCGGCAGCAGTCTCCGATTTTGGCGGGGAAAGACATGATTTTCATTGGATATGAGCTGCAACAGGTGTCAGGCAGGGCACTTAAGGCAGAATCAGGCACATCTTGACGCAAGTTCTTTTAGCTAAAATGCCCTGTGGCGCTATGTAACTATCTGTTGTAATATTAAAACGCGCGGTCACTTGACCACTAACCAATGCTCCTCTACTGTCAGGGTCCAACGACCTCCCCAGTCGTGCACTCCATCTATGCGCTCAACCAAGCTAGCCATTCGTGGCAGGTTGCTGGAAACTCTTAGCTGTAGTGGTGTACTACACGGGAATCGGTGTGCGCCTCATTCTATCGCAAGGATAACGCTGCCTGTTTGTGAAGTCGCTTGTCTTGTCGTTGCATTGCCTCGTCGATGCCGAAGTCATATGCCTGTCCGGTATGACTGTCTCGAGCGAGGCACTTTGGATGCTCGATCGCTTTCTGTTCCAGAGAATTCTCGTGGAAGCAGACTCGATTCCCTTTGGCGTCGGGCATTGCCTCGCCAATGCTGTATGCTTGTCCAGTGTGGGTGGCGGGTCTTCCATGACCCTCTGTCCGTCGCAGTGATGAGCTGCGCACCATCAGGCTTTTGCCCCATTGATTCTGCCGCAAGTACGACGCTGTCTGTTTGATAAAGTCGCCTGTCTTGTGGAAGCAGACTCGATTTCCTTTGGCGTCGAGCACTGCTTCGCCAATGCTGAAGTCATATGCTTGTCCAGTATGACTGTCTCGAGCGGGGCACTTGAGTTGCTCGATCGCTTTCTCAACCGGCGCGTTTTGTTGACGCGTATCGTTCTACAGAGAGTAGCCGGCCTCGCGAAGCTCTTTGGTGAGGATACCAACAGTAGCAAGCCGCCGTATTTCAGTTGCCGTTTGACTGAATCTACAAGTAGAGTCTTTGCGGCCTTGTCGCCTGCTGTGTGGTTGTGCGGTACCAGAAAGTCCAGTGCGCTTTGGCAGGCATTGGTCGGAGCAAGCTCCTGGTGACAGTGTTCCACTGACAGACAGCGCCTAGGCAGGTAGAGATGTGCTCGACGAGAAGCAGAGAGCCATCGCTTCTCAGGAATCCTCTTGTAGGGAAAAGCGCGTTGTCATTGAGTTTCGATAGATTGGGCTTAAACAGTAACAAATATTCGTCAGGTGCTTGCGTGAGCATCGCGTGGCAGTGGCGGAAGTCGAAGCAAACACCCATACGACTCAGTCATTCTACGGTTGATCCCGTGAAAGTGTATGTCAAAGCAATGCGGGAGGATGTGAGACATTCCCTTGGCAGTCTCCAGCTGCCTGACTTGCTTGAACTTTGTAGCGGCCTATTAAGCCATGAGTAAAACGCCCTTGTTGGGCAAGTTGCGGTCAGTTTGGCCATGAAGACAGAGAAGATTTGACTGAAACCGGAGAACGTCTCGGTCTATTTGCGAGGTTGGTCACACTCGGTTCATAGAAGGATCCTGGAGAAAACTTGTACGCGCACGCGACCGTCATCGCTATCAGTGAGGCCGTGGAGAAGGGGATGAATAGCTCCTATGGGCTCGGTATGTCCGTGTAGAGGAGCGGCGTTGGTCGCGCCATGGGGAGAGGGGGGATAGCTCCTATAGGCTCGGTATGTCCGTGTAGAGGAGCGGCGTTGGTCGCGCCATGGAGAGAGAGAGATGGCCCCTGTGGCTTCGTTTTGTCTGTTGTAATGCCTTAATGAGTAAGGTCTTATCGATCTTTCCATCTTTCCATCTACGTTGATGGATCCACATGTTGTGAGAGCGAGCCTCCTATGGGCTCGGTATGTCCATGTAGAGGAGCGGCGTTGGTCGCGCCATGGAGAGAGAGAGATGGCCCCTGTGGCTTCGTTTTGTCTGTTGTAATGCCTTGATGAGTAAGGTCTTATCGATCTTTCCATCTTTCCATCTACGTTGATGGATCCACATGTTGTGAGAGCGAGCCTCACCGCATCGATGCACGGCAGGTCGTCCAAAGGAGCGGCGTCTGTTACGCCATGGAGAAGAACAGACATTGGTGGCAGGGGATGAGTCCCCAAGCTGGCCTTGAAAACCAGCAGCAGCATCTGTTGTAATGCCTTGATGAGTAAGGTCTTATCTATCTTTCCATCTACGTTGATGGATCCACATGTTGTGAGAGCAAGCCTCACCGCGTCGATGCACGGTAGGTCGTCCAAAGGAGCGTGTGGCACAAGGGACTTCACCGCATCAGTCAAGCGGGTTGCGAGCTCACTCTCAGCGCAGTATAGGTTCCTGTCCTCTCTCCCCGGCACGTCGCGTGGAAGCACCGTGTGGTGGTAGAGCTGCTCTCTGCTCATGAGAGGCTCCCAGATGGGACTTGCGCGCGCAACGTTGACGTTACTTGCAGGAGATGGGTCCTGGCTACGGCAGGGGCACGGCGAGGACTGGGCGGAGAGTGACAGCGAGGGGATTGCAAGGAGTGTGGGTGACCTTGGCATCAGGTAACACATGGCCAGCCTTGGGGACAGCCGTGCCGTCGTGGCCGTCCGACTTCGCTCTCATCTCTCATCTCGGACCCTCCAGTCATCGAATGATGTGTGGACTCCGTGCCATAGCACCAGACTCATCTCTAGTATTCGACTGGAATGCCCCGCTTTTCGTCTTGAGAGAAGCTCTCTGATCCTTGCTCTTGTCGGACGACTTGATGGTTCGACCGTGGAACAAGGCATACGATATTGGGATCCATGGCGGCGTAGTACGCCTTCGCGGAGAGGGACTGCCGCTCGAAAATTGCGCCAGGCTGTGGCAACGTGCCTTCCCCAAATGTGTTTGTGTTCGCTCCGATTGGCAGTAATGTGGCCACGCAAATTTTCAAAACTGAGTAATTGCCAACCGCGGTATGGTGCAATGGAAAGTGGATTCGAGAAAGTGGCAGCTCCAGAGCTGTCGTCCTTGAGTAGGTCAGAGGTCGGTGGTTCTTCTTTGGTAAGCCCAGTGAGCAGACCATCGTTTGCGGAGGCATCGGCGTAGCAGGGCTTTAAATCTGGCAAAGTTAGCTCGCGTTCGAGTGCAGCTTGGTGGGGTAGCACTTGCCTGGTCGGTGCTTCCGAGCTTGTGTTGAAGGGAGGCGTTGTGAACAACAAAATGCGACTCCGCTAGGCGGAAGAGCGTCTCTCAATGAGGCTGTCGCCGACGTTTGGTGGGGTCGGTACTGGCGCACTTTGCGTGCAGTGAGGTAGAGAGTGGGGTTGAGGCGCGCGAGGGAACAGGAACGACTGAGTGCTCGAAGCTTGCACTTGGTAGCGCCAATGAGAACCGGCCCGCAAAGAATTCAGAGAATTTGTAGATGATATGGCAGAACTAAGGAGTGGTTTCTGGTGTTGCGGGTGTGGAGCTGGTTGTGTTGTTGGCCACTTGTTGTGGTGAGGCTGGGCGAGGCGCCCGAAACTCTAGGCACCGCCAAGCCCACGTCACGTGGCCTGCGGCAGACTCGCGCCACCTTCACCTGCAGACTCCTATCGGGTCGGTCTTCACGTAGGAATGTTCGGTGGCGACTGTCGAACGCCTACAGAATCTCACTTTCCTGGTGACGAAGCATGTTGACGGTGAGAGCACACAATGCCAGCTTCGCCTTCTCATTGGCCGTATATGCATCTCCCACCACTGACCCTATGGTATCCGCTGCTGAGTATACATGCTACTTGACTATATCTGAGAGGGCTCGATAGGACCCGTCGAATCGATTTGTTGTTTATCGTGTGTCACTCGGGTGCGCTGTTAACAGTTAGCAGCATCCTCCAATGGACGGGCAAGCTGAGACTAGTGCAGATGACTATATCTATGCAAACATCAGACAAGACGCCAGGGCAACGTGATCCTTGTCGTGCAAAGTCCTCGATGGCCCTCATCGAATGCGCTGCCACTTTTGCGGTCCGGGAGATGTGCTCTGGGTGATTGACTTGGGTCATGGGGAACTCTTTCACCCAAAATTGCCCACTACGAAGAGCACCCCATTTCCGAAAGTTTGATTAACGCAATATATATGACATCTACCACAAAAGGTTCGATATTGCTTATCGAGCACTTGTGATTATGTGTAGAGCAGAACGATGACATGTATGGCCTCTGGATCCTGTGGAGGGCTTCTCACTGTAAGCGTGGCATCATTTGCGTGTCTGCTGTGCTACATGTAAGCCCGCACTTTTGCATATTCTACACCTGGAATTAATACAATCTTTGTAAAGTGTTCGGCGTTCCGTATCGAGCGTTTCGAGAAAAGAAAAAGTATCGTCGCTTTCGTGGCACCGTGGTGCGGGCGCGGTGTCAAGGAGGCCCATACCAGAGACGCGCACGAACCGCGGCACGCAACCGTATACGTGCGCCGAGATCACAGCGACCAAGCACACAACCCAATATGGGAGACAAACTTGGATCAAAGTGTTCGATGGGGCCTATCGAGCACTCCTGCAGAGTTTCACGTGTTGTGATGTTATTGCATGCGTGTATAGACTACATGATGGCCACCGCGAGGACTGCTAGCTAAAACGCGCTTGCTGACTTGCGAAATACTCCCCTGAGCACGCCCATGGACCCACACGTCGCCAACAACGAAGTGGCCGGTTTATTTTCTTCGCACGGTATTCGATTGGCCTCGCCGAACCACTTCCGGTGTGATTCATGGCGTCCGTAAGAGTCACACTTGGCTGGCAGGCGATGCGGTGTCTGTGGGCCGACTTTGCACTACCAACGCAATACACGCAGCGCAATTGTACCAGCCGCGCTACTTCAGTCCAGTCTCAAATAGTAATGTACCGCTCGGAGCGATCGATGCATCCTATCGAACAGTTCTGTAACTAATGACACGACCCGGTCTCACATGGAGCTGTTAGTAAGCGTGGTACCCTAGAGCGGCTCGTTGGGTGTGTCACGTGCACCAAAGTCGTAGCGCATCTCGAGTTGGGTCGTGTTTGGTGCCCAGGTCACCACAGCAGAGACCCAGACACACTCGGAATACTCCCAAGCCATTCGATATATACCGTCGAGCGTTTCTAGACAGTCTGGTATGGGTGGCTAGTGAGACTGTTGCCACCGCGTAGCATTTGCAGCGGATAGCCAGTTTGTATGCTGCGGGTCGCTCCGATAGCGTTGCTATCACGATGCCATTATGGGGTGGGAAGTCTACATGAACTTGATATGTCCAAAATGCTCGGCGGATGCCATCGATAAATTCGGCGTACTTTGCAAAACGGATCGTATCGATGGTAGCAAGGTATAGTCCTTGGAGGGTAGGACGGTCCCTCTAGCAGCAGTTTCCGCTGTAGATGCACCTATGTCACCACTACATGCACGTGCAGCACTTGGGGAGGACAAACAGATTTCATAAGACGTTCGACGGCGCCTATCGACCCCAGATATCGCTGTGCGGGTCCGTCGACAATAGTTTGGTCATGATAGAAGGGCGACACTTGTCCATCCAGCTACGGCATCGGGGCAGGTAACCGCTATCTCCGCGCGCTTCCATATCTCCAAGCTACCCCGCACTCCCGCAGTCTCCGCTACTATCCTGGTTGGCTTGGCGCTTGGCACCCCACAACCAGAAAGCACTCCCGTTCCATCTGCAACGCTGTAGATAGAATTTTCATCTATCAATACCTGGAGGACCTAGACCGCAACCCGTACAACGCCGGCATCACCGCCGGTCTGCTCTGGGCCCAGCCCACGCTGTGCCAACAGCCCTTCGATATCCGGAAGCCTGTTGGGGCGTTAACGCCAGTCTTGCCTTCGCTCACTCGGTGCTGTTCCAACAGCAAAACTCACAGGATCCTCGCCTTAACACATGTGAGTGCACACTGGACATTCCGAAGCTCGTAGGCTGCGCGTTTCAACTACAGCGGATCGACGGTCTGACCCTCGCGGTATTGGTATCAACGCTAATCTGCTCTCTGTCCACAGCAGCATGACTCCAATGCTCTTCTTATACAGCAACGGCAATAGTGCGAGTCCGAATGACGTACCACAAAGCTAGAATAAGAACTAGCACAGTGTCAGAAGCGCGAAGGGCCCATGGAGGCAGTCTTCCACAAGTTCAAGGAGAGGGAGAGGGAACTTATGCTTGAAGACGGTCGAAGTCCGACGCTGAAGCTATTGCAAGAAAAGCAAAGACGATTAACTACAGAGCCAAACAGTTTAAGCGGAAGAGGACTAACACAGCTTAAAAGGCCAGAAACCTGGAAGACACGCTACTGAGGCTCGAATGGTTAATTACGTTGCCGTGTAGCAACAATTGAGCCAGCACGGAGACTACAGAGGGCCAAAGTCACACCATCCTCGTGCATGCTGCTAGCAATACCTATCCTTTCAGCTACGGTAACGTCTCACTCCTGCACGACTTATTACTCCTCGCCTCAACGAACGCGAATAACCGCTGGATATCCCTAGACCCGCTGCGCTGTCAACCCACGACAGGTCAGCAATATAGTAGGACGACGATGCCTTTCGTTTTTACTTTCTCATAATTTGACGTCCTTGCGTCGCCAGGTTATCGTAAGCGGACTTTTAGACAAGCTTTTTGCGCCGTGCAAACGTGCTTCAGGGCTTTGATCTGCTATCGCGCATCGCTTGTCGTGTTCATGTGGGCGCCCACTTTGCTCGCACAGGATTTAGTAAACACTTGGGAGATACGCAGTGGACTATCGCTTTCTAGATATTCTTTTGGAGAGAGGCGAAGACAGCTGCGCTCTACCAACACATAACTCCCCGCGACCTGAACCAAACTCGACACAATACAGGCATCAACACCGGCTTGCCTACTGCCCGCCACTCGCCATACCAACAGCCAGACTACACGATTCTCGCCTCGACACATGTGAGCGACACTCGATGAGCTCAAGCCAGCTATGCGCATTGACTTGTCGACTTGGTGGATGGGAAGAGAAGGTCTGGAAACCTGGACACAAGGCTATGCAGAAGGCCGGCGCAATGTTTGAACGGAGAGCAGTCAACTTGACTTCAAGAGGGAAGCTACATGGGGTTGCGGTGGATCGGGAGAAGGTCGCGAAGCAGGCTACCGATAATGCCACATGACTGACCTTGTAGTAGAACATTGCAAGACCGCGAACGAGTAAGGAAGAGGATATAAGGAGGCTAATGCGATGGTGTCGACAAACAAAGGGCACTCGTGGTTGGCTTGCACTGAAACCGCCCTTGACAGCACCGGACCAGCACTCATGCAGTTTCGAGACTACACAGTCTTCAGCAGTGCGCTAATCTACCTCTTAGGTGGTCACTACCCCAAGCTTCCGCGTTTCATCGCGAGAAGCTAGAAAGAGTCTCTCGGGGAATCCGACGTGTATGCAGTCCGTATACCGTAGTCCATCGAATCTACTCCGCTTTGAGGCTTTGAGGCATAGCTAGCACCCACTTCAACAATCGCAACACATTTACAGTATCGTCGAGGACTGACGGGCATCGGATGCTTGATAGGTCTGGCCCGGCAGGCCCTTTTCAGGATGGCGATGCACTAAACCAACGAGGACTCATTTACTACTTTCTACAGTTTTTTTTTGGCTTCCTGAGCTCTCATCGTATTCGTCCTCGTTTCTGTCGCTTCGTTAAAGCCGCGTCTTTGTTTACAATACACATATCCTGGGTAGGCTGCCGAGCAAGAATGGGTTCCTTTGACTAATCACACCAGCTGTCCAGAAGACGACAAAGATGTAGCCACTATAGTCTAGACATTTGGAATAATCCGGCACTTCTTCAGCGGCACCAGAAGTGCATGCTGGCTTTGTTAATTTGGAGATGTCGGCGTCTACATTTAGCGAGCTATGCTATCAAAGAGCTATCCTGTTTCTATCATTCTAGTTCGTTGCTACCTCGCATCCATGAGATTATCAGAGTTTCATAGGACCTTCGAAGAATACAGCGCTGTGTAATGCTCAGACCGTTGAAGCGCGAACTGCCTCCCGTTAATAAGGTAACACATCATTACTGTAGAGAGCGCCTCCAAGTAACTGCCGATCGAGAAATTACGAAGACCTTTCCACCGCGAGTTTCGCTCGGTCTCGAGTATCTCTAATTCCTTGTGCATTTGCGCGCTTCCTTTACGTCTCTGGTCATCTATCTTTTGCCGTAGAATCAAAAACGTTATTCTATACATCTTCGCACTGTTTGAGTCAGCTTTATAAAAAGCTGTACCGTAACACTGCATCTTGTGTTTCTCAACAAGCTTGTATTAGCCACTATATATAAAGAGATCCGTCTATTCATCGCATAGGAAGATCTGGGCCTACTTAGCAGTGGCCCGTGAAGCTTTCCTGTACAATAGCATCTATGAGTGGGACATGCTGGAGTGTGGTAAAATACGACAGAAACAAGCACTAATCTTGGCAGAACGAGCTTTCACTATATAAAGTAGACGTCGTACTATCTGGACCTGATGTCTCATTGCGAGCTGTAAGTATGCTTTACGTAACTATCTCAGTCCAGGTTCCGCAGCCTCGTGAGTCCTCTGCATCACAGCAATTGTTCCTAGTTGGTATTGTCTCCGAACTGTATGACATCAACCTTCTCGTCCAATACTTCTGGGTAGCTCGGGTGATGCGCTGTTCTTTTGCCAACATTGCTAGTATTCATAATCGGTGAAGCGCCTCCTGCTCAGCAGCTAGAACGCCACGCGCTCAACCACAACATTGGAACTCTCGTCTGAGCCCGATGCCATAAAGAGGTCCCGATGAAGGTACATCACAAAAAGCGTTGAAGAAGCCTGGACAGTGTGTAGACTTGTGTGAGATCGAGGCAGATTTCCAGGTCCACTCAGATTTTGCAGCCGAAGAGTAGCTGGCGCTAATGCCAAAGTGAGGCCATTCGTATCCCAAAAGTCTTGCGAACAAGCAATCTGAGTCAGCCCCGCAGGGTAGAGCACCGGCAAACTGCTCGTTCGTCGAATTCCATAGAAGTTCTGACGAAGCGGACTTGGAAGAGTTTGCTTCGCGAAGCTCTTTGTTGGCAGTGTGGCTCTTGGTCTTTTGTTCGGCGAATCGCGTCGTGGCAAGGTCTCGGTCTACAGTAAAGTTTCTATCGCTTGTTGAATGTATATTCTGACCGGAAGTTTTGTCGTCTCCTTGCGGCTTGTAGGACTGGCAAGCTATTTAACGTGCTGCTTCTGATGGCTCTGCTGGTCTTGATTATTCTGCTTAGCAAGAGGGATGTCGTCGAGGCCGGGAGGCTCGGTTTGCAGTCAGTGTTCTCCTACTTGTTATTCGCAAACCCTGACTTCTTCTTATCCACTCGGTTGACAATCTCTCATCGGGCCCACGCTGGCCTCTATAAAGGACGCCGCCAATCTGAACGACATCGTACTGGTGAGTTGCGAGTACGGCTGTACGGTTAGTAATGAGCAAGAGGAGCCCTGTAAGAAGAGGCTTTATGATGACCATATTCGCGCCGACTGTAAGAAGGCCGTGGAGAGAGAAGGGAATGGATCGTATGGTTTTGGTTTGAGCGTGTGAATGAGCGGCGTCGGTCGCGCCAGCTGAGGCATCGTGGAAACGATGATTCGCGCCTGTTGGCATAATGCATACCGCGACAAACTTAGTGTGTAAAAAGATGAGTGTGAAGATGGAGAGATTTTGCTAATCTCTTCCTCAACCATAACCAAGAGAACGGCCATTGGAACAGACTTATCGGCAACGGAGACCACGTTCACGTCAATGCGTGGCGCTCGATGCATAGAAAGCTGGGCACGGCAGACGCAGCGCCAGTGCGGGTGTGGTCGCGTGAAGACCCTCACTTATCTGACGATTAGATTATTGTAACGGTCAATGCGACCAGAGGGCTGGGCGCGGCTTGAAAAGAGCCTCCACGGCAAGGACGGCAAGGAAATCGATAGTGTGATGACTCGGGAGTAGGGTTTGAGCACGAGGCGCGTTGATGTGGTTGCGACATTAGCTACGCGAACACTGTCGCTCGCTGTTCCTCTCATGAGCAGTCTAACCTGAGGGCATCAACTTGACTCATCGAACGTAAATCGGTACCGCGAACTGACACCACCTGCGTAATAGCCGTAGCGTGGTCATGAAGGACTACTGGCCGAATTTTAGCCGGGGCAGCACGCAGTTCTACCCGCCATCGAGCAGGTTGCCCCTGGGTTCTGCCTTAGAGATCCATGTATCGTATGGTATCGCATAGCGACCCAATGCGTGCGATGTGCAAGAAATATTTGACCAGCTCAAATGGCATTATGGGCGTTGACCAAAGTGAACGTGAGCGAGGTATTGTGCCAACTCAACTTCCCCTCCAGACAAGCAGTGCCTTGTTCGTCGCCTTGGGAGTCTGTAGGCACGTGTGCTGCCATCAACTCCATAGACGAGGATTTTTGTGTGGTGTACACTGTGTTGTAAACATCGGCTTGAGGCAGTACGTAATGGATGGTGGTCGGCACGCTCGTCCTACCACTGGAAGCGTCTTGCTTCAAAAAGATCATGCTGAGGCGGTAGACGGAGTTTTGATGTGCTGGCTTATTTGAATGGACCCTGACTGGCGTATGTGCCATCAACGATACCGTCGACCCAATTTCGAGTGCGAAGCTGGGGAAACATGTAGCGAGCCATGGCCCATATAGTCACATAGCTGTAGGCGCCCCTGTGGGAGGCAATTCGAGAAGGTTTTGGCGTCCTTCGAGGACATGTCGGCTCTCATTTAGAGTTCACGAAGAAGCCAAGTGCCAGATGGTTGTTGGTTTTACGGATAGCAGAAGGTAGCGGGTGAAAACCCAAAGCATCCACACCGTTCATGGAGATGATCTTGACGCATGGGCGGTTGAGCCTCGTGCAGTAATCGCAAGCCCGAAAGGCTCCCGGAAACGTCGACTTGTATGCGCCTCTGCCTACGACGTATGACAAGACACAACTCGCCTCCCCAGGCTTGTACCTCGCCCACTGCTTTCTTTTTTCTGTGTCGTTTATGGCATTGTAGAACTCTCTTGCGAGAATTTCGACGAGTTCTGGTTTGACGGCAGATGGATCGCGCCAGGTTACACCAGTCTTGCCTTGTACTGGCACTGTAACCATGGGAATGTATCTTTGTCGAGCTGAAGCCAGGTCAGCGATCGGCGTCAACATGGGATCGCCCATGATGGTCGGCGCTCTCGGAGCCCTGGATCGTGTTTCTCGTCGTGGAAGGGCGGTCTTTGCTTGACCAACAGCAGCGCCAGTATCTTGGCTAGCACGCCGCTCGGGCAAAGGGGTGGTGCGGGGGCTTTGTTGTGTCGACCCCGGCAAAATGCTTTGCGAACTCGCTCTGTGCTCCCGGTCTGGAAGCACCGAAAAGGGCTTCACTATGGTGGCCGGCACGCGATGCTTGGCGGTTGTCGCCGGTGCACCCATCGAAGCCGATCGAGACGGCGGGGACTTGTATCTTGTTGCGGAAAATCGAAATTAAATTCCAGAGTACGAGCGACGGGGTTTCGCCAGGCTGCTGCGCAGGTGGTGTCGATTTCTTGGCAGGGTGCAGCAGGTCCGCTCGAAAGCGAACGAAGGGGCGCCAAGGGGGCATGGGACTTGATTGGGGTCTTCGAGAGAGCTGTCACCGCATCTTTGGAACAGGGCGTCGTAGCCCTCCCTGGGGGGCATGGCGGCCCAGGACGAGCCTGTAGGACCTGATCGCGACCAGATTGGCCAATATCGAGCACACTGCTCCCTGAACCCAATGTAATGTGGGATGAACCACTGCGGCCAAATTGGCCGTTTTCCGACGCCTTCGGTGTGGCCAGCTGCTGTGCAACAAAATCTGCTCAGATGTCAGTCGTTGCTTTGTTGCATCGATGAAATCAGACACACCGCTCGTTTGTGGCACCGCAGATATGCGCTCAGTTGGCCTTTCGTCTCGATGTGACGTGTTCTGTGTGCTCCGAGAACCACCACCATTGTTTGTAGTAGTATCGGAGACGCGTCGGCGTTTAGCACCACGGTCGTCGTCGATGGGCGATGCTGCACGCCGTCTGAAGCTCTTCGTTTCTTGCAATCGCAATGCGGCGACCTTTTCCAGCAGCCCGGCATAGTCCAATGGTGGGTCTACTGTTGGGGTCATATCTGCAACCGGGTGCAAGTAGCTATGCACTTTTTGTTTGTCATCAGCACACGCCTTAGACGCAATGTCGGTCTTCCAGTGCGAGATCTGATCCTGCGCCGTCTTGATTTCGGCTTCAATTTGGCGGCCGGTATTGGCCAGATTCTGTTCGAGTTGAATTCGGTCGGGGTTGAATGGGTCGAGCCTACCCCATTCGAGGCACGCAACCTTGTTGCTTTTTGTTTTTCCTGGGGGCTTGAACGCCATGGCCGTAGGTGATGCGAGGAAAGAATGACAGATGTGTGAGGCTTGAAAAGTTGTGAGGAGAGCACCGGACTGCACCTTCCCCTTGGAGCCGTCAGGCAGGCAAGGCGTCAGAATCTGCGCCAGGTCACCACTGCCACATGGCAAGCACGACCGCAAGTAATGTGGATGACAACAACATCACCGTGGCCAAATTGCACAGCCATGCACATGGTTGCGATCCGTACCCGCTGCATGAGACTAAGGGGAAGGGGGCGATGTAGAGAGCGGCAACGTTGTGTGCCACGACTGGATGCTCGTCGGGGAAGTGGGCAGCTTGGGAGGCCAAAGTGTAGACGCTCAACTCGGTGGAATGCGCGGGCAAGATGTGGCTTTGCTTTGACAGTTGGGCAAATGAGGTGTCGCGACATGTGTCTCTACAGGTACAACAACAAACAGCCACGATCTCACTGATGTTCGGAAGACAAACCCGCATGTTAACTCAGCCATATTTTCCGATATGTCTAGCGCGACTATAGCTTTTATGGGCTGATGACAGATCGTTGCGATGAAGGTGGGGAGGCGCCGAGGTATGAGCCGCAAGTACTGGGCAAATTGAGGAATCAGCTGAATCGATGTATCTTTAAAATGAAGACTTTCGCTCTACTTAGCTAGTGGGTGTGAGTTGGATCACGTCAACATTCCGGTCAACATCAAATAGGTATGATAGAAAGGGGTGACGACTGGCTCCATCAAGACGAGCAGCATGCAGCTCATCCTCTGAGACATGCAGACCTCAACGGGTCCAGTTCTATCTTGGTGTCGTTCTACGAATCAGGCACGAACCTGAATATGGAGTATAGGTGCGATCTAGTGTCACTTACCTGTCGTAAAGATGCTACCAGAGCAAGCTATTTGCGTTCTCTCTCAACTCAGTGTTGGGGCCGAACGGTGGAGGCAGCAGCCCGGAGAGGAGCGCGAACCCATGGCAGTACCTTGGTATGCTTACATCACGACGTACCACCAAACAGATACTGCGGGGGCTTAGGAACACTCTGTGTAGGACGCAGTCTGTTTTACAGGCAACGACAATGTGAAAAAAAATGAATTATCTGGATCCCCGAAGTGGCGTGGAAAGTTCGCTTATTTTAGTGAGGATTCGGCCGTCCTTCTGCGTCCAGCGTGCAGGCGCCAACCGCCGAATTTTCACATCACTCCTTACGCCGTCCCATTCCACACACGAAACTGCTCCATACGCACCGGTCGAGGGTTAGTACAACATACACTCAGTATGCGAAGCCAGCATACGACCCTCTACAAGGCCACTCGTCTGTCCTTCGAGATGAAGAAACACGACCGAGAAGGAGTCATTCCAACACAGTATGAACAACTGATGATTGATGCGAATGTTTTATTTTGGCATGGCTAATATATATACAGATCCACCAACAAAGTATGCGACCGAGATGTCGCTCCTATTCGGTGCTTCCAAAGACACCTCTAGCCACGACGGCCATCACGACCGTAATCGTTGCGGCTAGTATAGCCATCGCTGCGCTCATTTCCAAAGCGACGACCACCATTATAGCGGTCATCCCGAGACCTCCTCCGCTCACGACGAGCATAACCGTAGCGGTCGTCCTGATACGTTCGCTCGCGACGAGCATCATGGCGGGCATAGTCTCTAGATGAGCTTCGCTCGCGACGAGCATTATGGCGGGCATAGTCCCTAGATGAGCTTCGCCCGCGACGAGCATTATGGCGGGCATAGTCCCTAGATGAGCTTCGCCCGCGACGAGCATTATGGCGGACAGAGTCCCTAGATGAGCTTCGCTCGCGACGGTAACGGACAGAGTCGTTGGACCTGTCCCGATGACGACGAGCATCATCGTGGCGGTCATCTCGAGACCTCGTTCGCTCATGACGAGTGTGCGGCCGGACAGAGTCCCTAGGCGTGTTTCGCTCGCGACGAGCATTGGAGCGAATGCGGCAGCGTTCATCTTCATACCTGTTTCGAGCGTCATCAGCCGCACCAACACGGAGACGGAACCAGGCAAGCTCAGCGTCTCGCCTCGACCTATCGGCCGCATCCTCGTTCCGAAACACGTTTCTTGACCGTTCTAGGAGTGTATGCGTAATCTCACGCGCCTCAGTCACTGCATCCAACGCATTCGCGGATCCCAGCACGCGTTGCACTTCGGCAGGGGATTGACCCCACACTAAGGCGGATGTATCCGCCATAGTTCCGCTGGCAAGCAGATAATCTTGCGTAACATAAAAGTCTTCTGGCAATTCGCCCACCAAACTCTGCGGATGATCCAGAACAGCGAGAACAGCGCTGTACGCCCTACCAGAGGCAATGCGCGCGTCAAGTATGAGGGACGCGATGTCATCCCCAGAAGCATCGCTCGGCGGCGACGGTGTACGGCGATGTACCGGGGTTGGCGATCCGTCTTGTGTCAAAGAAGGAGACGGGCGGATTTCTCCAGAACCTGGCCCAGCAGCAGATGGTGCTGGTCGAGGCATCGGTCGTACTAGCGTCGGCCGTGCTGGCGGCGAGCTGGGACGACCAGGAGGTTGTCCACGCCCGCGACCTCGGCCACTGCTACGGCCACGGTTGTCGCCGGCATGGGCGTGATACGGTCCACGTCCACGTCCACGGCCACGGCCACGGTCAAGGTTATTCGAATAACCACGGATATAGCTAGAGCCAATGAAGGGCCCGCGAGCTGAGCCACCAAGACGGAGACCACGGTCGCTAGCGTCATTGACAGACTCAACGGTCGCAGAGTCAGCAACTAAGTAAGTCGGCAGACCATTTCGTCGACTAGACAGAGCGGTAGTAGTACGGAGCATCTCCAGTTCGTCGTCAGAGTCTTCATCGGCCCATTGACGAGTGCTGCGGGTGGGAAGCCCATATCGCCGTAAGTCGTCGGCAAGTGAACCAAGCGAAGGAGAGGGGAGTTCGCCGTCGTTGTTCTCGGCTGGTGCGTCCAGAGGACTCGAAGATTGGTTGCGACGCGTCGCGCCAATATTGACTCGAGGGGTGTGGCGGAGACGAATGGGTTCGTCACGGGCCAAGCCGCCCAAAGGGCTGGGGGGTGGGTTGCGGTGCGATGCACCATTGTCGGGCGAGGGACCGCCGCTGAAAAAGGAGGATGCGTTCTCGGACTCGACAGTAGGTGCCGGAGGTCCTGTTTGCGGTGGCCGTGAAGGCAATGTGACTGGGAATGCTGTCACATTGTTTTGCACTGGACCAAGAAGCCCTAAGTGGAATGCTCTCGCATCGGAGACGTCGAACATCGACTGAACTCTCGCCAAAAGGCTAGTGCGGCATGTTGGACATTTCTTGGGGACTGCTGGATCCCATGTCATCCCCTCGCCGTCAATGCTAAGTAATCTCTCTGGATTGTGTAATGCCAACCAGTTGAGCAGACACCCGACATGGTAATGTGCGCCACATGGGCTGTCGATATGTTGCGCGACGATGTCGCTGGTTCCATTAACGGAGGCGCCCGAACCAAGATGGTCACTGGTTACTGGTCAGTATGCGCAAACAAGATGTAGTGGAGGACTTACGAGCAGATGGGGCATTCGGCGTCGACGCCATTGCGGAGGATGATCAATCCATCCCTAAGGAATTCTCTCAGCGTCCGATATGGCGCTGGCATCACGACAAACGACTGCAAATAATGAGTCGTGTTGAGGTTGAGGGCGTCGTGATGGGGAGAGGAAGTCGGAGGACTAGAACAACAACAAAGTAGTCGGGCGACGGGTCCGTGCGCCAAGAAAATTTGCGTCTTCACCAACTTCGCGGCCGCGAAACGGTGAAAAGGAGGAGAAAGAGCACCGTGAAAGTGAGACAAAGGGAGCGTAGAGCACATGCACGCACAAGAGATTGATAGCAGATGGCACCGTAAGGGGCTGGGATATGTGCTGGAACGTTGGACCATGTCTGCAACACTTCGCTATGTTGATATCCAGAACACTCCCAAGAATACAAATGACGCACATCCTCGCGGGATGGGTTACGTCCCGCCTCGTTTCCCATTCTAGGCATTCCTCGGACCAGCAGGCACTTGAGTCCCTCTACACGACAAAGCAAAGACACGGACGGCTGATATGACAGACACGCGCTGCATGTGCAATTTCAGTTACTTCGTCATTAGATGACGTGATTGTAGACTCGGACGGCTTAACTCTAGCCACTTCGTGAGCGCTTCCTCGAAGTCCTCAAGACTAAGGCTCACGGAAGTGACATCCGGTATTTCCACGCCATCGTCACTGATAATATCCCCCAGGAGCTCTAACTTTGGCTTGAGCGAGTTGAGTTTTCTCGAAGCTTCCGCTACTTTGAGATCGGCGTCGCTCTTGATCTGCGTAATCTCTTGTTGGATTTTCTGCTCTTTGTCATTGGCCTTCTTCTCTCTACGCATGACTTCCTTCGCCTTAACCCTCACTTCTTTCCTCGCCTCTTCCCACTTCTCCTGCATTTCTTTTTTCTTATCCTCGTGCTCTTTATACAGTTTCGACTTCTTGAACCTGCTAAGCTGGTACTGCAGCCGCGCGCAGTAGCCCAGCGCCAATGCGAAAACAAGATAGAATACGTAGGGGAACCATGTGTTGGAGTGCAAAAGTCCTGGTGGTGAAGAATCGCTGTATACAGTCTTCGTGGGCTGTGCCGTCTCCGTGATGGTTTTGGTGAAGGTAGGCTTAAATGTACTGGTTTCCGTCGTCGTGATGTCAACGGACACGCTCTGGGTCACCGTTCGGGCGAATGGGTGAACAGTCGAGGTGCAAGACTTGATAGTCGTGGTAGAGGTCGATGATTCTGTAAGCCAATTGGTGGCGGTGGAGGTGGATGTTATGGTAGAGGTTAGACTTTCCGTACGCCAATTGGTGGCGATAGAGGTTGACGTTATGGTCTCGGTAGACACACTGGGGGTGACTGTAATCGTAGTGGTGGTACCGCTGTTGACTGTCGTGGTAGGGACGGCTAGGGTTTGTAGGAGCGTTGAGGCAAAGGTGTCAGTCGTATGAGTAGAATAGCCATGTTTGAAAGCTTCGTCCTTTGCAGCTGTCCAGAACCATTTGCTCTTGCTGGGGGGTGTGGATCCCCCGTATTGGTAGTATTGGGCACATGCATAAAACATGGTCATTCCCAATGTCCAAGGCAGATTGTGTTCAATCAAATTCCCTATCATGTCCGCCATTCTAGTTCGCGTGTTCTTTAAGATTCAATTGCTGATGGAATTGAGGGTAGCTAGTGTTGGTGACTTGCCGGCTGTAAGACGTTTCGTGCGTAGAGTGTAGGAGCCATGTAGTGCCGCAAGAATGGACGGGGTTTGAGTTTGCGCTGCTGAGCAAACAAAGAGCTTGGTGAAAGTGAGCCAGACAATGGACCCGTACGCGTGTAACAATAGTAATTGGGGTGAACATGAATAAACACCGTTTTCACAGTAACAAGCAAAACGAGGTGAGGATGAAACAAAGAAGTGCGATTCGACCCTCTCCAATCGCCTCTTCGAGGCTACAACGTTGTAGGCCTGGTCCATCGTAGTGAAGAACTACAAGCTGCATTGCGACTGTGTTACCTTTGGCATGTGCACAGGCATAGGCTAAGATTGAGAAAGCCATGGAGTACGATAGACACGAACTCATCCACTCGCCTATGTATTGATACACGGTGTGTGAATAAAATACCGCTTCTGCTCCGAAGGAGTGATGCCGCGCAAGGAGGGTGAGTGCACAGTCGGGCCTTTCCACCTAAATACGAGAGCATCCGACAGCAATAATGATCACCATCGCTTGTCGATATGGTCATGTTCTTTGAAGTGAACAGCAGATGCAATGACGTTGTGGTGGTGAAAGAAGGTCCGATTTGACCGTGCGGGGCACCACGTGGGCCAAATTTGGTTAGCGCCCCACCCTCCCGAGGTCTTTCACGACGACATCTTCGGGCAAAACAGCACACGACACTACAAGGTAGGAAACGCTAGTGTCATGATGGCATTTGGCTCCCCAGGAATTGCATAGATTATCTCCCAGAGTAGGCGTACAGGAACCGACAAGCAGAGATAGCATCGAGCTCTTTGCGACCAAGGCTTCCACGGTTACATTGTATCACGGACGCTACCTGCGTCATGTAGACGCGCATAGAGTGGCATATTGCTCTCAAATTCTGGACCCCATTCCTTCCAGCTATACGTACTTGTTCCATTCAATGGAGGCTGAGCAACGAAATTGATCTCGAACCCTTGTAGTTCCCAGATGCACACGCATTGCCTAATTTGGTCAAAGTACCCGGCCACACATGCTCACCGCAACGGAACTATGAAGCCGCACCGGAAGCTACCAACAGTAAACGGCAATCAAGCGGATTTCCAGGCGCTCCAGGTCGCTATATCCCCAGAGTCTTGACCTCGCATGCGGTTCTACTCCACTTCAGTCATGCGATTCCGCACCTTGCATACCTTCCCTGTTCTCGCATATACATTTGTCGCAATCTCTTGCCAATCATAAAGTATTCCAACACCCCATCTTCCAACGCTTGACCTGCTTTTTCAACACTGTGCATCTCTTCTGGCGTAGTGTTGCCGTATATTCGGGTCTATCGCTTGTCTACCAAGCCAACTCTCTTGCATCACTGCGGCTATTTCGGTTACCGTGGCTTTCTCTGTTTGAAGCTTTCACACTCAACGGGCATTACGTGCTTCTGGGATACCCATATCTACATGGCACCGATGGCTGCAGCAACAATATCCACACCAACCCTCACGCAAAGCGGTGCGAGAGTCGCTTCACAAGCAGCCGAGCAACATGCACTCGAGCTTGGCGTGCCCATGTAAGATCACTCAATCAAATTGGAGACAAAATGTCACTTAACACGTGCTCAGGTCCATAGCAGTAGTGGATGCGCACTGCCACCTCTTGAGCTTCACGCGAATGGATGGCTCGAAAATCACATCCATCAACACTGCCATGGACATGGCTTTCACAGCAGCGGGCAACCGGATACCAACATCAGCATGTTTGTAATTCTTGCATTTTAACACGTTCAAATAACGACTAATACCTCCACCAGACCAAGAGAACGCCTGGCCCGGCAGCGCAACCTCAGGCATCGGCAATGCGATCTCCGGCCGCTTCTGCACCCTCGGTGGCGGCATACCCATATTCTGCCCATCAGGCAGCGGCGACATACTCGGGGCGATCGGATGCTCGACCGGCACATCGAACCAGGACGAGGCCGCCGCGAAGATCGGTCGCGACGCCGTTCTCGCATTGATACGCAAAGAGAAGCTCGATGAGGAGCGGAGAGTAGAGAATGAGAGACAGGCAGTGCTTATGCTGTGGAAGGAGAAGGAAGAGGAGGTTGGCACACTAAGAGAGGAATTGGAGCGCGGAAGTAAGAGGATGCGGTATGACGAGTATGGTGGTGGGAGGAAGAGCAGTGTTGCACTGAGCACGAGTGGGAGCTTGGGTGGGAGGAGCGTTATGCCGGATACACCGCCTGAAGATGGCGAGATTCAACCAAGTTTTGTAGGCGAGGTTGCGCTGGGAACGGCGATGAGAGTGTAGGTTAGCATTGTCTTTGAGGTGTCCAAGGCGTTTTGGCGGAGGCTGTTCTGGCGTATTCGTAATTCTCGAATGTCATGGAAGGGCGCACAAATGGCGCAGGGAAAAGGAAGACATTCTGCTCTACAACGAATTGTATCATAGGATATAACTACACACCCTCGATACCTGAGTCCTTTTTCACATGACCCTGGCCGTCTTCGCCCTTCTTAAGGAGTCTTTCAACCTCACCGCGGTACTTGTTCATCAGATCGTTCAACTCAGCCTGGTGCTTCGCATGTAGGCCAGATCACTGCTCACCATCCTTCTAGTTGTACTTTACATCCAACCCAGCAAAATCGTTCGCGTTCCTCCAGTCAGTGAGGATCTTGATAAAAGCCGGACTCCCGTATCCGTATGTCGCATTGCGCGCAGCCGACAGAGAAGGTTTGCCTTCGTTGTTGTAGTAGCCAGGCGTACATTCCTTGAAGAAGTCGCCTCTGATGGCAGTGCCTTTCACAATGGTATCGCACCAAGCCTCTTCAGCTTCCTGAGTAGGCTCGACAGTTCTGATGTCGCGCTTCTGGCACTCAGAGATTACGTACGCGAAGTGCCGCGCCTGTTCGGCCGTCACATGCATGAAGTTTGGCGTAATAGCGGCCTGTACAATGGAAACCCAGAAGCAATTCGGGAACTCGCGACTTGCCCATCCATGGAGTGTCGAGGCGCCGTCCTTCCACTTCTCGGACGTGGTCATACCGTTACGACCATGAATCTCCATGCCGGTTTTATGGGCCCACTCATTTGCGAGCTCAAAGCCAGTGGCGTAGATCAAGCAGTCAATCTCAAACTCTTCTCCATTAGCAACAACGCCTTTCTCAGATATACGCTCGACTCCTTGGCCTTTGGTATCGACGAGCTTGACGTTGGGCTTGTTAAAAGTATCGAGGTATTCGTCATGGAAACAGGGGCGTTTGCAGAACTGGTTGTACCACGGCTTCAATGCATCCGCGGTCTCCTTGTCCTTGACGACCTCATCAGTTCGTGCCCTGATGCTTTCCATCTTCTTGAAGTCAGCGAGCTGGCGTTGTGCCGCAGCTTTGACCGGATCGTTAAGATCGACCTTTGCTGTCATAAGTTCACGGATAATATCGGTCCATCTATCGGCGACCATATCTTCCTTCTCGAAGCCGCCATTGACAATACTGTCGAAGTTGTTCATGCGCTCTTGCTGCCACCCCTTCTTTAACGACTTTGCCCACTCCTGATCTGTGGGTCTGTTGCCGCGTACGTCAATAGACGATGGCGTACGTTGGAAGACGTATAATTGCTTTGCCCATTCGCCCAGGTGAGGTACAATTTGGACTGCAGTAGCTCCAGTACCGATGATGCCGACACGCTTATCTTTAAGCTTCTCCAAACCACCGGATGGGTCGCCACCGGTGTAGTCAAAATCCCATCGTGACGAATGAAATGAGTGGCCTTTGAAGTCCTCGATTCCAGGCACACCAAGAAGCTTCGGTCGGTGCAGTGGACCGGCTGCAGGAATGATGAAACGTGATTTGATCTTATCACCCCGTGCCGTTGACGTCGTCCATTTGCCCTCTTCTTCATTCCAGTGCATTTCTTTCGTTTCTGTCTGGAATAGTGCACGGGAGTATAAGTCAAATTTCTCGCCAATCATCCGAGAATGCTTCAGGAGCTCTTTTGCCTTGGCGTACTTCTCCGTTGGCATGTAGTCGACCTCTTCCAGCAGGGGCATGTAGATATAACTTTCGATATCACACGCAGCACCTGGGTATCTGTTCCAGTACCTGCAAGTGGCGCGTTAGCCTCTCCACAGTCGAAAATTACATCGTGGGATTCACGAGTGTGCTTACCATGTACCACCAAAATCTCCGGCCTTCTCAATTATCCTGAAGTTGTTGACGCCAGCCTCAATCAAGCGCACTGCAACCACCTGCGCGCCATATCCACCACCAACAATAACCACATCGACCTCTTCCTCAATGGGATCGCGCTCGAATCCTGGATCTACCCATGGATCTTTCAAGAAATGTGATAGTTTGCCATCCAGCGATAGATACTGCTCAACACCTTGGTTGCGCGCGAGACGCCTGTCGCGCTCGGCCAGGTACTTCTCTTTCAGTGCAGCAGGGTCAAACGGAAGAGTTTCTTCCTGTGCAAGTTCACCGGTCTTGATGTCGACTACAGTCTTCTGGGTTTGGGGAATGGGCACTTCAGCTACAGGGGCTGGTGCAACAGGTCCTTTTGCAGCCATGGTGATGTGATGCTCGGTGTATGGCAGAGTGCGGAGTGAGAATGTATGATGGCGGACAAAGAAGACTATACTCGCAGAACACTAGATTGAGTCCGCGAGTACTCTTTAGACCATGGAAACGTAGCCGCGGCATCTTGCAAGATGTAGCTTCCCCACCTTCTCACATGTACTATGTGCCACTTGCTAAGGCCGCACGCCGAATCAAAGGCGGGGCTAGGAGACACATATAGGACGATTCTGTAGGGCGGAATCCATGATCCGACTGAAAGAAAGTCAGCTGCGCGTTGCGATGCGGATCCTACGATCTACTGTGTGTGACTCGCATCCGAGTCTGGCGTAGAGGGGAGGGGCAGAGCCGCCGTGCCACCGATCTGCGACTAGATCCGGACGAGTCGACTTCTCTGATAAAGCTGCATCACGATCAATTTCCTCTTGAATCGTGAGAAATAACAACTCGTGCGTGGAGATTTGTCCTGGTGTAATGCGCGATGCTCATGTACCCTGCGGGCATCGATGCACACATGGGCACCTGGCCAGTCTTCGATCGCCTGCATCTTGACGAAGTCTTACGGTCGCCCTGAAGCATTGGAGCGACCAGTATTAAACAGTTCGAATCGGTCATTGTCGTCTAATTTGGTCATCATAGTCATCATATTCTAAATTGGTCGGCAAGTGGAATGCGATGCGCGAAGCAACTCCAGATGTCCTTTGCACCGACTAATGTCGCTTTGTCCATCATGACCGATTCGAGAAGCAACGTACCCGCGTCTGCCAATTTGTTTTCTCGGAAGAGTGCCGATGGGACTGCTTGCACTGCGACTTAAGGCTGCCTCACCTTAGTGGACATGTTTCCCACATGCATGCATCGCTGCGTCATTCATGTACTAAGCCTACACCACAGGCTTGTCCATCTCCTGCAAACACCAGTGCACATTGAGGAACCTGTGGTACACCTTGCCTCTGATTTAGCACAAGTGCGACCAGCAGTATATCGATGTAGAAAACGCATGTTTCATCACCAACCCACCACAACGGTCCACCCCTTAGCACAATATCAGAACGTCAGAGTCCGATATATCCAGGGGTCGCACTGCCAAGACTGTCAAAAGGCGGAGGGCCGAACATGCGTTCATCTATGCCCCCAGTTGCCCCGGAGATGATTTCTAATTCAGCAAACTCCCAGGTCGTTCTACACGCAAAGAGTCCAGACACATTGATCACCCCTTTTGCATCATCTTCCTGGTCGTTGCTGGAAATTGCGATGTTCACTGTCGATATCCGCCCCTTGCGCGCGTCGCTATAAAAACATGGCGCAGGGCCAGGAATAGCAAGGTGCGCATTGACGGCCATGTGATGAGGCTAAAAACGTGGGTGCATGTTTTTGTGCAACCCTTTCGCAACTCCCTCCGCACATTTCTATTCCTTGGGCGTTGGTGATCAGCAACCTTATTTCGATTCGGTACTGAAAAGCGAACCATTTAGCGCCTTGGGGTACTCAGTGAAGCTGAATTTGACTCGGATAGCTACTGGAAATAATATTGGCTGGCTGAGAAGCGGCGACTGGGCAGGGTCTGAGCGATACGGTTGGACCGCGGTTACCAATTTCTAAATTTCCGTAGGCGCTTGTGATCAGAGAGCAAGCGGCGAGGTTTTGGCCATTGGACAGTCGCAAGGAAGGTTGTGGTGTGAAAATGAATTCTGGGTTCTGGAATTACGATTACAATGGCGATGTAGTTGCAGGTTAGTTAGCATCTTCTCACAGCACCAGATGTTCAATCGCAAAGTTTTGGGTCGTGAAATCGTGAAGACGTCAATTTGCAACAGACGATGCAGTTTTCCCTAGTAGATAATACAAGGGATAAAGAAGCGTACAGTGAACGTACGATACAGAAGAAGCGAAAATGTGTCCAAGCACCCGCACAAGTGCGTTTTGTCCCCAAACCACCTATACACCAAAAGAAAAGGCCCCCATATTCACAGATAGCCGTTGAAGCGTCTATGCAAGATCGCAGCACCAGATACCCTTGTGGAGCGCACATCCAATCTTGGAGTACTGCGCGGAGGTGAGGATCTCGGCGTGGCCAGTCTGGCCTTCGTATGCCCAGCCCTCGGACATCTTACCGCAGACACCGTCGAGACCAGGGGTGTTGGGAAGCTCGCAAAGCCAGCCACCGACGAAGACCTTGGTGAAGTTGTCGTTACCTTGGTCGTCTTTGCCATCCTTGCCAGGGGCAAGGACCTGGCCGTAGGTACCGGGGTTGAGCTTGTGTGTCATGACGCCATTGCTGGAGACGACGGTGTCCATGGCGTTAGACTCGAGCTTTGAGTCGTGGGAGAGCTCCTTCAGGCCCAACTTGGCGCGCCATTCAGCGACGACGCCCATGTAGCCGGAGTCGGCGGGAGGAGCTGGTTGGGGCTCGGGAGTGGGGGTGGGAGTCGGAGCGGGAGCAGGAGCAGGAGCTGGGGTGTATGCAGGAGCCGAGTAGGCGGGCTGCGATGGGGCTGGGGCCTCGTACACAGGAGTAGACTGAGGAGGCTCAACGTACGCGGATGACGGCTTGGGAGGCTCGACAACGACGGTGGTGGTTGGCGCAGCGGGAGCTGGTACCGGCTCGGGTGCAGGAGTAGCGGAAGGGATGGGGTATCCCTCGGTCACGTAGCAGGTTTCGATGACAGTCTCAACGACGACGACGACGTTCTTCTTGGGCTCCTCCTGTTTTCCATAACCTCCGTAGCTAGGAGCGGCAATGGCTGCGCCAGCAAGGGCAGCGATAGCGAAAGCGGCACGCATTCTGATTTTGGTAGATCTAGTGTACTTTGTGTTTGTTGGTGTTGGTGTCGAAGGATCAGTAGGATTCGAGGTCGGTCCGACGGGAGTGTGTTGGTAGCTGTGTAAAAAGAATGATAGTGCCGAATGGCGGTAGTGAACGTGGTGTCAAAGAGTGACTGGTAGAGAGAGACTGGATAGTGTCGAAACCTGGAAGTCGCAGACCTGGATCAAAGAAGTATGTGAGGGAAAGGAAAAGAGGGGATATATACCGAATAGGGATATGAGCGCTTCGCAAGCCCTCGCGGGCAGGAAATGAAAGCAAGTGCCATGGCGCGGGCCACCGACCCCATGCGCCGCACATGTGCTTGTACCTGGCGCTAGCGAGTTCTAGGCGAAAGCACCATCGTGACCAAGCTCTTGGTAGCCGTATTGGATCCTTTCATTTCCTTTGACCGACCATTGTTGAAGCTGACCTTGTGCTAGCTTCATCACACTGTCAGGTGAGGCGACGGGGCTTTGATGGCCACTGGCCAGTTTTACAATATCATTGTGTCCTTCTTGTTCCGCTGTCGCTCTGGATCTGTACCAGAGAATACGCGCGCTCCACGGCGTCTTTGCTGGCATCCGCAAAGACAGAGAGAGGGTGTCAGGGGTAGTGACAGATGATCAATCTACTACTGCAGGGGAGTAGACGACTAGCCGCCCAGATGTGGTACTCTAGCCGAACACGCTAGAACCTAGAGTGGCAAGTCGCTCAGGAAACACGATGCGAGCGAAGAGTCGATTGGCCGGCACGTCGTCCCCTGTGAGCCTTGACAGGGCCACGTTTCAGATGCTTTTCTTAGTGCTCAACTTTGTTCCTGTCGAAAAGGCGGCTGTCTTGCGTTGTGCAAGGCACAACAGAAGCAGGTCGCGGATGTTAGCGTTTCAGCCATGGTGCCTCAGCAGCTGTATGATCCGAGCACTAAGACTGCAGGCTGCGGACATGATTTTCTTGATTCTGCGGAGATGGAAGGGAAGGATCGAGACTCGCGGAGTCTGGACGAGCTGTGGATCTTCCAGGCAAAACCAGATGAGAACGTTTCCGCTGAAACAACGGCACGATCAGAGTTCAAGGTCCCGATGGTAATGGGGACGGGATCGGGGAGTTCTGCACGTGTCCACCAGTGTGACGTCGAGGAGCTGCCGTACTCGCTTTACAGGTGGTGAATGACACTCACAGATGGCGGCGCTTCATGACACTCGACATAGAGCGCCCGTAGTGTCACTATCAAGTTACATGCCTCATTTGTGCAATAGCGAGGTGCATCGCAAATGTTTGAACCGACTTCTCGCCGCCGACGTGGACCAGTGCCTTCGTGGATTCTTCCTATTGCTCCGACGTGGATCGCTTCATCCGAGATGCGTCATCTCTTGACATTAGACACGGCGGGGTTGCAGCGAATTATCATCGGTAATAATGGGTGTTCTGCAAGGAAGGCCAGCGGCATTCAATTTCCCGGCCGTGTCTCCCATATTCCTCTTATTTCAACGTCGTTCAACAAGAGATGAAGCGCCGAGGGAAGAGCTTGCCGGCCGTGCCAGACGTGCCAGGCATGCCTCAGGATGCGAGATGAGGTTTTGCAATCGAAGTCGCCTTGAGTCGGTGTGGAGCCTGGTCTGGACACGCTGGGTTTTTCGTCATCTCGAGTTGGGCACGAAGAAGGATTGCGCGTCCATCCGCCCGCACGCCGCAATGACATCCGGTCCGTATTACTGCAGCCGGACCCACCTTGGCTGCGAATTTTTGTCTCATCCTATCACATCTCTTTCTCTGGCTGATGCGCTGCTGTTCCTGCGCCCCTCTGCCGCCGTACCTGGCTGCAGATGCTGGCATGCCGAGCTTCCTCGGTCTCTCTTCGTTCGTCGTGCAGAAGGCAGGCCACCTGGGCATCTGTCGCGTGTCGCATGCCTCAAAAGCATGTTTCCCCGATGCCACGTCGAAAAGTCTGGGCCTTCCATTCCCCTCGTGCCAGGCGCGCCGTCCCTGGGAAGCGCGAAGTGTCTTCCGGCGCTCACACGATCTGCAGCCGAAAACGTTGTGGAGATGGCTCCTATCGATAACATTGATCGCTTGCAGTAGCCACCGGTACCAAGCACCCGTCTTCCGACCTCTCATGATGTAACGTCCACACTCGTCCTCTACTTGTCCCCCACACCTTGCGCTGCTGTGCCCTAGGATGCAGACAGGTGTTGATCTTGGGAGTATACGCAAGCTTGAGTTTTTTCTCTGTCTCTCGCAGCTTCGCGACACCATCGCGACACCATCGCGACACCCTAGGGACCGCGCACAAAGGCACCTTTACATCCGCTGTTCAAGCAGTGCGCCAGATGGTACTATTCAACAAATTCACACCTCAGTAATCGTAAGCAGCGCCATATTAATCCTTCAGCGGCGCAGAATCTATAGGATCCACATTTCGGCGCGCAGAAACTTCCAGAGACATGATTTGCCACGTTCGCCGTTAGCTTGGCAACATGCGTTCTCAACTCACGCAGGTACACTCGCAGCGCTAAACCCAATTTTACTCGACGACCTGCCGATGATGTGTCGGGCTTCCCACTCTTCTGCAGCGTGAAGTCACGCCTCAACAAGACTATCCGGGAGCAGCGAGTATCCATTTCATTGGCCACTGCTGCAAGGGTATTCATCTCGGGGAACAGGAATCTGGAGCCCTTCAAGGCTCTGCCTATCGGGCTCCTTATCGGCAAAAGCATATTGTCCTTGGTGCCAGCGAAGTTGTCAGCTTTCGAATGTCGCTGCATGCGTGGCCCAGTACGATGTCTTGCACGCTGACCAATGGCCGTCGAGTCCACACCCACTCTTCGCAGGACGAGAATGCAAACAGCGAATGTTTCGAAACCACAACCTTCCACCGTCGTTCCGAACAGTATCACAGCATAGCTTGCTCAGCCACCTGGTTCGAAGAATTTCCTTCTTGTAATCCAACAACCCTCCCACGGGTTCACCCCACCATGACACGATGTGACGGGTATGATCTTTGTTCCGCACGTAAGCTCCTAGTCAGAGCAAGCAACTTCTAGTCTAGGAGACAGGATCACCGATGAATCGGCATTCCACATGCGTCAACGTTCGAGAACATGATCCTATCCTGCCTAGCTGACAGTGCGGCGCCACGCCGTAACGTCAGCCCGACTGACCAACCACGCTGCAAAGCGCCCTGACTGGGGTCCAAAATCATCCACTCATGGAGCAAACATTTCGTGCTACGCCTGCCGCCGGACTATGAGACTTTCTTGTAAGGTTCGGCAAGGTTTTTTCAAGGAATGTGGACCGGACGGTTAATTTGTCTTTGTTGAGTGGAGGATCTGGGAAGCCCATAAAAGAGTAGGTGCCTCGCTGATCAACATCTCTTTCTCTGCGCAGCTCACTCTTTGTTGCTATCAGTCTTGACTTGACAGTCCTTTGCACCTCGAAGCCACTCCTTTGTGCTTCTTATTCATTCTTTCACCGACTCGACGTCGCTACCACCACCAGATTTGACATCTGCCTGTTTTTAAGAACAAAAATCAAATTCTTCCAAACATCACACAGCCAATCCTTCAGGAATTACCAAGTCAAATTACAATCATTCCAAAAATGTTCT